CCCATCTGCTTCTGCAAAAAGAATAAGATCGTCTGCAAAAAAACAGGTGAGAAATCAAGGGGCCTCCTCTAGAAAGGCTCAACGGTTTCCAATGTTTTTCCTGGATAGCTTGATCAATTTTGTGAGAGAGCCTTTCCATGCACAAAACGAAAAGATAAGGGGAGAGAGGGTCTCCCTGGCGGACTCCCCTGGTAGGGGTGATCGGATCAGAAAGTTCCCCATTCCAAAGCAGACGCATTTTGTTACTCTCTACACAAAACATGATGCAATTGATCCACGAGCTAGGCAAACCCACTTCCTTCAAAGTATCCCGGAGAAAGTCCCATCTTAGCCTATCGTAGGCTTTTTCGAGGTCGATCTTAAGCACAATCCCTCCTCTCTTGCCTTTCTTTTTCCTAAGAGAGTGAAGAACCTCCTGCAACACAATAATATTATCAGTGGTTTGTCTACCTGGGATAAAGCTGCTCTGACGGGGCGATACAATCTTTCTCATAATCGGCTTCAGTCGGTTGGTGATAGCCTTCGTGATAGCTTTAAGGCACACGTTGTTCAGAGATATCGGTCGGAGTTGTGAGACCCTTTCAGGATGATCCACTTTGGGGATGAGCACCACCGTCGACTCAACCACCTTCTCCGGCAGAATTCCTGTCGAGAAAAAACTAACAGCCATATCAATAAGAGCTTTCCCGACGGTTTGCCAATATTTTTGGTAGAAGATGGCCTGGAATCCATCAGGTCCCGGCGCCTGAAACGGCTTCATGTCCTGGACTGCTCCATGAATATCCTCCCCAGTAAAGGGTCGAAGTAAAAGGATGAGATCCTCGTGGTCAATCCTCAGGAAAGCTTGCTTCGGCATTTCGTCGGTGTACTCCTAGCTATCCTGCAAATACAGAGAAGAGAAAAAGTCAAAGACTAAACTCGCAAGATCATGGGGATCAGAAATCCACTCTCCATTGCTGTCTTTGAGACTCTCAATCTTATTCCTGCGCCGACGAATATTAGCCTGTTGGTGGAAATAGGCTGTGTTGCGCTCTCCAAACTGGACCCATTTCTCTCTGGCTCGCTGGAACCAGAGAATCTCTTCCTGCTCCAAGACTTCATCAAGTTCCTTCTCGAGTTTAGTTTGAAGCTTGAAAAGTCCTGGCGAGAAATTGTGAGCCACCTTAGCTTGTATTCCTTGAATACGGCTCATCAATCTTCTTTTTCTGTGATAAATATTCCCGAAAGTTGACTGGTTCCATTGAGACAGTTTAGTGGCCATGTCTTGGAGAGCCTCCTGCAGAGGTGCCTGAGAGTCCCAATTGTTAGACAGAAAGGTATCATAAGACTCATGAGTTAGCCAAGCTCCCTCAAATTTAAAGGGTCGAGATAAGGAAGAAAGGTGAACTCCCTGGTTTCCAAGAGACGTCAGGATCGGATGGTGGTCAGAATGCAGCCAGGGGAGGTGAGTGACCGTGGAGCTTGAGAAAACTGAGTTCCAAGTTGCATTGCAGAGGCTCCGGTCAATCCGACTCGCCTTGTAGGAGCTGGGATTGTCCCCTCTGGTCCAAGTGAAACGAGACCCGGAGAAACCCAGGTCAATGAGCTCAGCCTGGCTAATCCTGTCGCTGAAACGCTTACAACGCCGGTAGATGGAAGGAGTGGTCGGCCCTGCCTGCTCTGTTGGTTCCTTGATTGCGTTGAAATCTCCGGTTAAGAGCCAGGGGAGCTCCATCTCATCGCAGAGCCGAAATATAGCTTGCCAGAGATGATGTTGCAAGCTTTGCCTGGGACTTGCATAAACGGCCGTCAAGCACCAAGCCTGAGCTGCGGGCGGCGAGATTTTCACGGTAAGGTGCTGAAAACAGGCCGAAAGCACTTCTACCTTGAAACACTGAGCATTCCAGCAGAGCCAAATTCCCCCTTTCCTTCCCTCAGCCTCGACTCGCAAGACATTTGGAAAACCCAACTTTCCACAGATCCGATCCGCCACCTCCCCACTAATTTGGGGTTCCAACAGGATCAAGAACTCAGGCTTGTGATGGTGCACGATCAGCTTCAGAGCTCGGGAGAAGGCAGCATTGCCCGCCCCTCCTACATTCCAAGACAAGATTTTAGTGTTAAAATTGTTTAAAACAGACATAATAAGGTAAAAAAAGACAGGGAAAAGGAGAAGGTAAGGAGACGGAAAACAGAAAAGAAAAAACGAAAGGTATGGGCGCTCAATCAAGCTGAGCCAGCAGACTCCACAGTCGGGATCATCTTCTCGTTGTGCTCCACTTCCAGGGCTTGGGATGAACTTGTCTCCGCTGCAGCCGCCTGTGCCGCCCCCGTCCACGCCTCAATCTCCTGCAGGGTAAGTGAAGCCAATCGTGCTCTAGTCTTGTTCTTCTTTTCCTTAACCGGAGTCCAGACTTGGAGGGCTTTGGTCGTGATTGGCACCGATGTCTTCCTAGGCGACTTCAATTTCTTTTTCTTCTGTCCGTTCTGATTTTTGGTCCGAACCACCGCCGACGGGGAGCCTTTCTCCCGCTCTGCTGCTTGCTGTGTCTCATAAGGAGGGACCGCCACTATCTGGATGGAGGTGTCGTTGGGGCCCTTAACTGCCCGAGTAGATGGTGGGCTGGAGCAAGTCAGCCCAGATCCCTTTCGCGGGCCTGCTTCCTCAGTTGGCAGCCGAGACCCATTCGATTTGTCTAGGCTCGTTGAGCCTCTCTCCCGTTGCCTCCTTACGTCTAAATTGGCCTTGCTGGTGCCCGAGTTCGCATTATTTTGGGCCGAGGGAATTGGGCCCAAGACTCCTTTTCCACCTGTCACCCCTTCCACAATGGATTTCTTCGCTTTTTCTTTCCCCTTTTGTTGCAACCCATCAGTGGAGTTTCCTTTCTCCCCCCTACCTTGTTGGAGATTTCCAGTCCGTTGGCCTTGATTCTCTCTGAATCCCCCCTTGTTTCCAGAACTACTTTCTATATTTTTGTGGTTGCCCTTTCCCTTCTCGGTATTTCCACCAACCACCAGATCTCCTTGATTTCCGTCAGAGTTTCCTTTCTCATGCCCCCGCGTCCCTCCTCCGCCACCATGCTTGTTCCGCCTCCACCGCTCTGCTCATCCATCGTCGGCCACACCTCGGCCTTCCTTCGCCTCGCTCGTCGCTGCTCGCCGTCGTCAAGCAGGAGATAGGGAGACAGCAGAGTTCGCCGCATTCGTCGTTCGTTTAATAGCGAAATCTGATAATGTCTGCGTCCATGTGTTCTTATTTTTGTTCTCTATCATATTACCTTCATTTCACATTTATTGTCTAGATTTTTCATATCCTTAATTGGCGAGGACTCGTGATCGTTACATTTCAATCTCTTCTCTCCAACTATTTTTTTTATAACATTGGTTCTCCATCGAACCAAAATGGTTAAAGAGTTAACCTATGTATGGGATGTTACAGAGGTAGTGACAGAAGGAGGTGGCGAGATTCGTCGGCGAGACGGCGACCACTGACCAGGGAGGAGGGAGGTGGCGAATCTCGCCACCTCCTTCTGTCACTACCTCTGTAACATCCCATACATAGGTTAACTCTTTAACCATTTTGGTTCGATGGAGAACCAATGTTATAAAAAAAAATAGTTGGAGAGAAGAGATTGAAATGTAACGATCACGAGTCCTCGCCAATTAAGGATATGAAAAATCTAGATAATAAATGTGAAATGAAGGTAATATGATAGAGAACAAAAATAAGAACACATGGACGCAGACATTATCAGATTTCGCTATTAAACGAACGACGAATGCGGCGAACTCTGCTGTCTCCCTATCTCCTGCTTGACGACGGCGAGCAGCGATGAGCGAGGCGAAGGAAGGCCGAGGTGTGGCCGACGATGGATGAGCAGAGCGGTGGAGGCGGAACAAGCATGGTGGCGGAGGAGGGACGAACGCGGCGGTGGACGCAGAGAATCGTCGGCTGACGGCAATCGAATGGTTCGGGAAGAGTGCGGCGCGGGGAGGGGAGGTATGTCTTTATTTTGGGGAAATAGGGTTTGAGTTTTGAGATTTCTGATGGGTAAGCAGGGAAGGTTAAGTGGGGTTCGGTTGAGGGTCGGTTAGTCGGGTAACCGCGGTTAACCACCAACGGTTACTCGGCTAACCGTTCCCTCCCTTACCCCATCCGAACACCGACCGCCATAAAAGAGTACCGGTTTTTGGTTAGCCGCTAACCGGCGGTTTTCGTTTAGACCGACCAGTTTGCCGCTAGCCGACAACCGAACTGCCACCCCTAAGTGACAACAAATAACACCTAGGCATACAAGGATCTAACCATACACGCCATTTCCAAACAATTCGACGTTAAAATCCTCAATAACGGAAATCACCATAACTGAGCTATGTCGTCAAATGGTAGATGATACTCTTTGAAAATATTTTGAACAAAATCGTGATAGCAAACAAACACCAACTTCAGTTCAACACAATAACATATATAGAGTCGAAACTTACAACAAGAGCAACCATTATACACACGAGGAAAAGCTCTATTATTTGGGCGGCCTATAGTTCGCACTATATGATCAAGTTGGTTGCACCTGTCACTGTGCTTGCGGCTGGGGCTACAACGAGTCGAGTCGAGTTTTACATCAGTTTGAGCTCGGATCGTTTATTCGAGCTAGCTTGTTTAAACAAAATTTTGACTCGTATTTGACATATACATTTTATAAGTCATATATGATACATGCGATTAGTGTCAAGAGGAAAAAAAATAATAACAATAGTTAAGAGGTCAATATTAACTAATCTCATGTTATACTTCGTGGTATCAAATTATTTAGTTAATAAATTTTAACTAGTGAAAAGTATGTTATTTCATAGTATCAAAGCTATCTATGATACATATTTATTTTTAAAATTACATAAGACATATTATCTCAAATAATCTACATGTAAAACTTCATAAAAGGTGAGATATATAATTTAACAACCCTATGAATAATCAAAATCAAACTCATATAGATCAATTCGCTCATAACTCGGTAATCGAGTTGGCTCTCTAGCCACAATGTTGAGAATTGAGACATCTCATGAGCTCTAAACTAGCCAGCTCACAAGTTGAGCTCCGCAAGTCACCGAGTCGAGCTAGCTCGTGAGCTCCACGAGCTGCAGAAGGCTAAGCTCAAGCTCGACTATTTAATAAACGAGCCGACTTTCAAACGACTTTTTCCGAGTCGAACGTCGAGACGCTAGTGAATAGCTCGGCTCATTTGCAGCTCTACTTGCGGCCTTACAACATCAACATTGCCATATTAATTCCAGCACGATCAAATCTCATATTCCATATTTCTCTCATTGTTATAAGAACTGAACCAGATCAACGGCTGGGCCAGTAGAACCGTCAAGTTAGTTACGATAGCGGTCCGGTTCATTGTTTGGACGGTTATTGATGGATCAAACTGTTTTTCACGGTTCAACATAAAATCAGGTGAACCATCACGGTCTAACTGGTCCACTGGTTCACTATTTTAACCAAAAAAATTTAAAAAAATACTTTAACATAAACTAAGATCATCAAACATAATTATTAATTTTATATATGCTTCTTTTTCTCCTTTTTCAACCTTGTTGTGGACTTTACGTAGTCCACTATCGACTGACATCGTAATTTTTAATTTGAATTAAAAAATATGATTTCTTTTGTGAGATGGTTTGAACAATTTATCTGATATTTTGGTGATGAGATAAATTTGAAATTGTTTATGGTCAATAATAAATTAATTCTTAAATTAATGTAATATACAAGTTTTATATGTTATATATTATGAACGTTTCACCAACAATTTTGTAACGATTAACCACTAAACCCTAAATCACTAACTTTTCAGATTCAGCCTCCACCCCGATTTTGAAAACAGAGATTTCTCTCAAACATTTCGCTTTTGCATAAAAAAACTGAAAATAGCATGTACATAACTTATTTGCTTGAACCTCTGCCTCATAACAAGGAAAACATATTTTTAACAAAATTCTCAATGCATTTTCCACATTCTCGGATTCAGAAACCAACTATCATGGTTACAACTTACAATATACAAAGTACAGGTTGTATATTGTACAACTACTCAAACATGTTAAAAATAAAAAAATACAAAAAATAGTCAAATCCAGTGCAAATATATATTTATATTTATGAATCCCACTGGAAAAAGGAAAATATGGAGGGGAAATAAACGTAACAATAAAAATAAAAAAACCCGACACTATCAACACCTATAAAATGTCCAAACACTCTTCATCCTTCTTCTGCCCTTTGTATTCCCTGAGCCACTTCTCGCTTTAGGGTTTCTCAACCACAGTACCTTCCTCTCGTTAAACTCGCCAATCGAAAGCCATTCCGAAGCCGGCGAAGCCTCCAATTCGTTCCTCTTTCGCACAGTTCATAGGGTTCCGAATTCAGGATTTGCGTTCTCGATTGCTTTGTTGGTTTGATTTCGAAGAATTTATTGTTTTCAGTTCCGGGGGGGGCAAAATTTCTGGTTCGATTCGTCGCTTGAGCTTTTGCCGGATGCAGGAAATTCTCGAAACTGGATCCGTAGCCGCGTGATCGCGCGACCACGGATTCAATCGGGGCGGTTTAGTTCGTGTATGGAAACTCGGAGCCGGAAGCGGGCGGAGGCCTCCTCAGCAGCCCCTTCTTCTTCTTCCTCTTCCGCGCCTTCTTCCCCAGGTCCCACTACCCGCTCACAGAAACGCTCCCGCCTCTCTTCCTCCTCCACCGCCACTGCTTCCTCTCCAGCTGCCGCTGCCTCACCCGCTGCTGTTGCTACTCGGTCTCGCGTCTCTCGAGCTCAGCAGCCTGCTGCTGTAATGGACCCTACAACCACTCCCGTCGAATCGTCTTCCTCATCCAGGTCGCGACGCAATCGAGGCGGGGAATCGTCCGACAAAGGGAAGGAGAAGGAGCATGAGGTTAGGGTTCGGGAGAGTAATAGGGATGTTAGAGACAGGGATAGGGATAGCTTAGGGATAAACATGGAAACAGGTCGGAATAGCAACAGGAATGAGGAGGATGATGATAATGATAGCGAGGAAGGTGGTGGCATTGGGGCTTTCCACCAGAATTTGACATCTGCAAGCAGTGCACTGCAGGGTCTCTTGCGAAAGCTGGGAGCTGGACTTGATGATCTCCTGCCCTCCTCGGCCATGGCCTCGGCATCTTCTTCGCACCAGTCTGGTAGATTGAAGAAGATTTTGGCTGGGTTGAGAGCTGACGGTGAAGAAGGAAAGCAAGTGGAGGCATTGACCCAGCTTTGCGAGATGCTGTCAATTGGAACTGAGGATTCTTTGAGTACCTTCTCGGTGGATTCTTTCGTGCCTGTTTTAGTTGGGTTGCTGAATCATGAAAGTAATGCGGACATTATGCTGCTTGCCGCTAGAGCAATCACACATTTATGCGACGTGCTGCCTTCTTCCTGTGCTGCTGTAGTGCATTATGGTGCGGTTTCGTGTTTCGTTGCAAGGTTGCTTACTATCGAGTATATGGACTTGGCTGAACAGGTTTATCTTTTTTGCTCTTGGTGGCTGACTTTATTCCCTGGATTAGCCTTTAAGATACGTTTATGGGAGCTGTGTGGACTGTAGAGTATAAACACTTATACTGTTTTGTTTTGAATCTGGTTGGTGTGACTTGAACAGTCTCTGCAAGCATTAAAGAAGATATCTCAGGAGCACCCGACTGCCTGCCTGAGAGCTGGAGCTCTTATGGCTGTGCTTTCTTACTTGGATTTCTTTTCTACCGGGGTCCAGGTAAGTACTTTGTTAAGTGGTTTTTAATTTGACTTTGTTCGACTAGGCCGATGGGGATGACAAGGTGTTCTTCTCCTATCTGTTGCTTCTCTCAGAGAGTGGCACTATCTACCGCTGCAAATATGTGCAAGAAGCTTCCTTCAGATGCTGCTGACTTTGTGATGGAAGCAGTTCCGTTGCTCACAAATCTTCTTCAGTATCATGATGCTAAGGTAAGGGTGTAGTTTTGAGGAAGTCAATGCTGTCAATTCATTTGTGACCTTGGTAACATAATGTGTTGCACGCTTTTAGGTATTGGAGCATGCCTCTGTTTGTTTGACTCGTATTGCTGAAGCTTTTGCTTCATCGCCAGAGAAACTGGATGAACTGTGTAATCATGGCCTGGTAACCCAAGCTGCAGATCTCATCTCCACTAGTAATGCTGGAGGCGGACAGGCATCCTTGAGCCAACCTACATATACTGTAAGATCGGTGCTAACTGCTAAGTCCTTTCTGGTGTTATTACATTTTGATTCTCTCCAGTCATGATTTGTGTATTGGTGCAGGGATTAATTCGGCTACTCTCAACATTTGCGAGTGGGTCTCCTCTAGGTGCTAAGACTTTGCTGCTTCTTGGAATCAGTAGTACTCTCAAAGATATATTGTTGGGTCCTGGTGCTTCTGCTAATGCATCTGCGCCTGCTCTGAATAGGCCAGCAGAGCAGGTATCGTGAAGTTCCTGTTTTTCTGTTTAGTTCCCCCGAGGCTCTCTTGCTTAGAATCAATCTAAACTCTTGCATTGACTGTCATTGGTGTTAAAATGTCTTGTATCCTTAGTAACACAAATTTCCCCCCATTCTCCTACTGAATCAGATGTTTGAGATTGTGAACCTTGCAAATGAGCTTCTTCCTCCGCTTCCACATGGATCAATATCCCTGCCTACAAGCTCAAATGTATTGGTGAAAGGTCCTCTTATTAAGAAAGCAAGTACCAGCTCTTCTGGAAATCATGATGATGCAAATGGAGATGCTGCCGAGATTTCAGCAAGAGAAATATTAATTAAAGATCAACCAGATTTGCTCCAGCAGTTTGCAATGGACCTGCTTCCTGTTCTAATTCAGGTCAGCTTGTTGCTCAGTTAGTGTCACAACGTTGGTTGTTTAACGCAGTCTCTCATGATAGCTTTGTTTTATTTGTTATCTAGACCTATGGTTCTAGTGTCAACAGTCCTGTGCGTCATAAATGCCTCTCTGTTATCGCAAAGTTGATGTACTTCAGCAGTGCAGAGATGATTCAGTCTTTGCTGAGCTCGACAAACATATCAAGGTAATGTGTTTGACATCTGTATGCTACGAGCTACCTGAATTTCTGAGATAATTTATGCATGATGCTTCATATTGCAGTTTCTTAGCCGGCGTTTTGGCATGGAAAGATCCACATGTGTTGGTTCCTTCACTCCAGATAGCTGAGATTCTAATGGATAAGCTCCCAGGAACCTTCTCGAAGGCTTTCATCAGGGAGGGGGTGGTTCATGCTGTTGATCAGCTTATCTTAGCTGGTCCAAGCACTGCTACTCCTGCAACTCCTCCTACCGAGAAAGACAGTGATGCAGCCTCAGGGCCGTCGTCGCGTTCTAGGCGTTATAAGCGTCGTTCTAGCAACCCGAATCTTGACGTGCCAGAAGACACTAAAGGTCCAGTTTCTGCTAATACTGGATCGCCTCTGAGTTCTGTTGAAATTCCATCGGCAAATTCCAGCCTACGTGTGGCTGTCAGCACATGTGCTAAAGCTTTCAAAGACAAGTACTTCCCTTCTGATCCAGGGGCCACTGATGTTGGGGTCACAGATGATCTGTTGCATCTGAAAAATCTTTGCTCAAAGTTAAATGCTGGTGTGGATGACCAGAAGTTTAAAGGCAAAGGAAAATCAAAAGCTTCTGGATCTCATTTTACTGAATTGTCTCCTGAAAAAGAAGAGTACTTGATCAGCGTGTTAACTGACTTGCTGGAAGAACTGAGCAAAGGTGATGGAGTATCCACTTTTGAGTTCATTGGAAGTGGTGCTGTAGCTGCACTGCTAAACTATTTTTCTTGTGGTCATTTCTCAAAGGAAAGGATCTCTGAAGCTAACCTGCCTAAGCTCCGGCAACAAGCACTTAGACGATTTAGGTCCTTCATATCTGTTGCTCTTCCCTCTGATATTCAAGAAGGAAGCCATGCTCCTTTGAGTGTCTTGGTTCAGAAGCTTCAAAGTGCTTTGACATCCTTGGATCGTTTTCCAGTTGTTCTTAGCCATTCATCTAGATTATCTAGTGGAAGTGCACGTCTATCTTCTGGGTTAAGTGCCCTGACCCAACCTTTCAAGTTACGCCTTTGCCGTGCCCAAGGGGAGAAATCACTAAGGGATTATTCTTCAAATATTGTTCTTATTGACCCATTGGCAAGTTTAGCATCTGTTGAAGCATTTCTTTGGCCACGTGTTGATCGAGGTGAATCTGGACAGAAGCCGTCACCTTCTGCTGGAAACTCCGACTCTGGTACAACACCTGCGGGTGCTGGTGAATCATCTCCATCTACCTCTACACCTGCTTCAACCGCACGTCGCCACTCTGCAAGGTCTAAGGCATCTGTTAATATAAGAGATTCTCCCAAAAAGGAACCAGTGCAGGAAAGAGGGACAAGCTCATCGAAAGGGAAGGGTAAGGCTGTCTTGAAATCTGCTCAGGATGAGGCCAAAGGCCCCCAGACGAGGAATGCTTCCCGTAGAAGAGCAGTCGTCGATAAAGATTCGCAGATGAAACCGCTGGATTGTGATTCTAGCTCTGAGGTATAGTATAACTTGTGATAATATTACCTGTTGTGATCTGTTTCAGAATATGCAATTGCCTTGTTTGATTTGCATTCCTAGGTGATAGGATTAGCTGTCCCAGAGCATTCTGCTCATTCATTAATACTGCCCCATTACATTAGGGCACAGAATGCAAAATAAGATCAAATATGAAATATATATCTTATAACCTTCTGTGTCAACTCCTTTTCTTAGGATGAAGAACTGGAGATCTCTCCGGTTGAGCTTGATGATGAATTGGTGATTGATGATGGTATGTCAGACGATGAAGACGATGAGCATGATGATGTATGTTATCTAACCTCAAATCCCTCCTGTAGGAATATGGATTTGGGCTCTTGTTGCATTGTTTCTTGTTATTGTTGTTGTACTGGTACAGTGGGTTGACGTATTGTGGAATAGAGTGTGTGGAAGATATCTGATGCCATTAGTATGTTGCAGGGAAATTAGCGACCTGCATTAATGCGTTCGTCCGTATGCAGCTAACTTCTTGCTATTCAGAAGACTGGTGGATGTCATTAGTATATTTTAGGTGGTGGTTTTATGGTAGCAGCATCTATGCTTGGAAGTTATCATCAGCTTAATGCATAAGTACCGAGAAGTGGGGTCTGGTCCTTTTCATTTTGTTTCAGTTGCTTGATTTAATATCTTTTTTCACCTTTGCTCCTGTACAGGTGTTGGGAGATGATTCTCTTCCTGTCTGCATGCCTGAAAAGGTGCTTGATGTAAAATTAGGCGATGCACCCGAAGATACTACTGTTGCTTCAGCAACAAATGATGGCGGTCTTTCTAATCCAGTTCCTGGCTCTAGTAGTAGCCGTGGTGCTGGTGGTAGAGCCTCTGATTTAGCTGATTTAAGAACTGGTCTCTCCTATGGTACTAGGGGTGCTATGTCCTTTGCTGCTGCGGCAATGGCTGGGCTTGGTTCTGCTGATGCTAGGGGTATCAGAGGAAGCAGAGACCGACAAGGACGCCTTTTGTTTGGTGGCTCTAATGATCCAGCAAGATTGATCTTCACGGCCAGTGGGAAGCAGCTCAATAGGCATTTAACCATATATCAAGCCATCCAGCGACAGCTCGTGCTGGACGAGGACGAGGATGATAGATATGCTGGTAGCGATTTTGTTTCCAGTGATGGAAGTAGACTTTGGAGTGATATATACACTATAACTTATCAAAGAGCTGATGGCCAAAGTGATAAGGCCTCTGGTGGTGGTGGATCAAATGCTACTACTCCTTCCAAGTCTGGAAAAGCTACAAGTTCTTCTGGTGCAAAATCTGATACTCAACTGCATCAAATGTCACTTCTAGACAGCATATTGCAGGGTGAACTTCCATGTGATCTTGAGAAGTCCAATCCTACCTATAACATACTGGCACTGCTTCGTGTCCTGGATGGTTTGAACCAGCTTGCATCCCGTCTGAGAGCACAATTAGTTACTGACAACTTTGCAGAGGGTAAAATCTCGAGTTGTGATGAGCTTACTGCTTCTGCTGTCAAGGTCCCTACTGAGGAATTCATCAACAACAAGCTCACTCCTAAACTAACCCGACAAATGCAGGATGCCCTTGCATTGTGCAGTGGTAGTCTTCCTTCTTGGTGTTACCAGTTGACCAAGGCATGCCCATTCTTGTTTCCCTTTGAGACCCGCCGGCAGTACTTCTATTCAACTGCTTTTGGGTTGTCACGTGCTCTGTATCGACTTCAACAGCAGCAAGGTGCTGATGGAGGAGGGCCGTTTAATGAGAGAGAAGTCAGAGTTGGAAGGTTGCAGCGTCAGAAAGTGCGTGTTTCTAGGAATCGCATTCTTGATTCTGCTGCTAAAGTAATGGAGATGTATTCTAGTCAGAAAGCAGTGCTAGAGGTAGAGTATTTTGGGGAAGTTGGTACTGGGCTGGGTCCCACTCTAGAGTTCTATACCCTTTTGAGTCATGATTTACAAAAGACTTCACTTGGGATGTGGAGGTCCAGTGAATCATCATCGTCTGAGAAGTCTCCCATGGAAATTGATGGGAACGAGAAGCTTGTTCATGCTCTGCTGGGTTTGTTCCCTCGGCCGTGGTCCCCAAATGCAGATGCCTCTGAGGGTAGTCAGTTGCACAAGGCTATTGAGTACTTCCGGCTTGTTGGTCGTGTGATGGCTAAAGCTCTTCAGGATGGGCGGCTTTTGGACTTGCCATTTTCTACAGCTTTCTATAAGATTGTTTTGGGTCAAGTAAGCCGATTGCAGCAGTCTTCCTTTAATTGATTTTTTGGTGTGTTTGTATGTGGTTACTGACCGACCAATTGGGTCTCTCTGGTTATGACGATGCAGGATCTTGATTTATATGATATTCTTTCTTTTGATGCTGAGCTTGGGAAGACGCTGCAAGAACTGGATGCCCTTGTTTGTAGGAAGCGTTATTTGGAATCCTCTGGGAATGGTGATGCTGTTATTGATATACGATTCCATGGGGCTAAGGTTGAGGATCTCTGCTTGGATTTTACTCTTCCTGGTTATCCAGACTACATCCTGAAGACAGGGGGAGATCAAACTGTATGGTCCAAAGTCCTTTAGAAGAATCTTCCTTTGTACATGAGTGTCATTCGGTGTTCTGCTGTTAGTTTTTCATCTGTGCTGAAATAAACTCCCTGTTCCTATGTGCAGGTTGATATCAGTAACTTGGAGGATTATATATACTTGGTAGTAGATGCAACTATTAGGACAGGAATAACCCGCCAAATGGAAGCATTCAGGAATGGATTCAATCAAGTGAGCTTTATTCTACATCTCTGTTTGATAACTTCGACTGTCTTCAATTTAAAATTTCTAAACTTCTGTATCGTCCTGCTGTTGAAATTTAGGTGTTTGATATAGCATCATTGCAAATATTTTATCCACTCGAACTGGACTACTTGCTTTGTGGGCGCAGAGAGCTGTGGGAGGTAATTTAGTTATACCATATGTATACCCTTGGATTCAATTTTCTTTAGGTGGCAGTTAAATCAAGCTACTTTCGACTGTTGTGCAGGCTGACACCCTTGTCGATCACATCAAATTTGATCATGGTTACACTGCCAAGAGCCCTGCAATTATTAACGTACGTCTGCTGCTGTCTCGTCACTCGAGGTTTTCTTTTTCTTCTGTTGTCACTTGTTGAGGCTCTCTTTCTGATTGTCTCTGTTTTTGTTCTTCTACAGTTACTTGAGATTATGGGAGAATTCACGCCAGAGCAACAACGAGCCTTTTGTCAATTTGTTACTGGTGCACCACGGCTTCCTCCTGGTGGTCTGGCCGTGTTGAACCCTAAGTTGACCATCGTGAGAAAGGTACAGTTACTTGACTTGGTTACTGTCTCAAAACTTCATTGTGTTCTCTACTTTCGTGCTTTGCCTATAATGTTCATGTTCTATTATCCCCTCCTGCAGCATTCTTCAACCGCGACAAACCCACCATCTAACGGGACAGGGCCTTCGGAGTCGGCAGATGATGACTTGCCTAGTGTGATGACCTGTGCTAATTACCTCAAGCTTCCTTCCTACTCTACGAAGGTACATTCGGTGCATTAGGCATAAGTTGCTAATTCAGAACTGTTGTAATCCGCTGTTTAGCACCGTTTTTCACATGGGTGTGTTTGCTCCATCTTGAACAGGAAATAATGTACAAGAAGCTGGTCTACGCAATCAGCGAAGGGCAGGGATCATTCGACCTGTCTTGAGCTTTCGACTAACTCGCAACTCCCATGATCGAGAAAGAAGGCAAAACTGTGTACAGTAGCACGAGGAATGAAGATGGAGATACCTCGAGGGTTATCCGCTGCTCAATAATGGCATCTTTTACCCCCTGCAACTTAAACTTTTTGGCCGTCATCAAGGTCAGTCCGCCTAATTTTTCACAAAGGGCCGTCAGGATGCTGGCTAGTCATCATGCCTTCCAATCGCGATTTATTGTTACTGCTTACTGTTGTGTACAGGTTGTGGATTGGAGTTGCGTTTTCGAAAAAAGCTGTAAAGAGGGATGTTTGCAGAAACAGGAACTGCTGCCAAAATGAAGTGGATTGTGTAAATAAAAAAAAAAAAAGAAGAATAGGGTCTGGAGAGAATTCTTATTATCAATTTGCCTTTTAGGGTTTTTATTAGTATTTAGGAATGCATGTATTTAATTGCAAGTGGTGAAAAAATTTGGTATCTTTTGATGATATATCTCGCCCTTACCCTCCAACTTTGGTTTCTATTTGGCTTTAATTCCCAGCAGTTTACCAGTTTTGGCCTTTTGGGGTTGAGTGAGAACCCTTGTATAAAAGAATGCAAAACCAAAATCTGCACCAGGAAGTATGGGTGGCGATTCGGTTATTCGAACTATAAAACCGCAAGACCATTAGAAACCGATATATCAATTACCCAATTGTCTAAAAATCGAAATGAAATCTTGAAATGTATTGGTTTTTCATTCCGTAAAAAACCAAAAATGAACATTTATTTTGCATTTATGCTTATCTGCGTGTTTAAGATTTTCGATTTTACCATGCCAAAAGAAACTTATAAACTTGTAAAACCAGTCGTTAGAAACCGATGAGGTCATCCACACCATTAGTAGCGTGCGTCAGAATCCATCCAATCCGATCCCCCAAGTCACTAGTGGCCCATCCCGTCTCTGTCCGCCCCCCAATCTCAGCCATTTCTCTGTCCTCACTCTCCGCCCACAAACCTTCAGCTCAACAGCACCAGAGGCGGAGACTTCTGAATTTTCCGACTCCTCCTGCAACAGCATGGCGCTCCCGGTCGTTGACGCCGATTACCTCAAAAAGATCGACAAGGCCCGCCGCGACCTCCGCGCTCTCATCGCCTACAAGAACTGCGCCCCGATTATGCTCCGTCTGGCGTGAGTAATCGCTTATTTGACATTTCCCTTACCCCCCGCCGCTCGATTTTGGCTCTCGGTATGGTTTTGCCGATTCTTGTCGCCGGATGGATGCAGGTGGCACGACGCCGGGACATACGATAAGAGCACGAGGACCGGCGGGCCGAATGGCTCCATAAGGAACGACGAGGAGCTGGCTCACGGTGCCAACAGTGGACTGAAAATCGCTCTCGGTTTCTGCGGTGAGCTTTCTTTCCGTCGTTTTCTCACGGTTTTTCGTTTCCGGTGGTTGTTTGGATAATTGAATTGAATGTTTTTATCTATTGTTGTTGTAGAGGAAGTGAAGGCCAAGCATCCGAAGATTACTTACGCCGACCTTTTCCAGGTTAGTGATTCTTATGAATTTGGTTTTGATCGCCACCACGATTGTCATTTTGGGATTTGAAATGCTGAGCTAGTGACAATCCAAGAGGTTTAGAATCTAGTGAGTAAATGTGTGCCTAGATTCGAGGTGCGGTCGCTTGTACCCTTATTGTATACTGTCGATTTCATAGTAGGACCTCGATTTATGAGTATGGTTGATGAAGGTTGCACTGATGATGGGAACCTGATACATGCTCAGGTTTGGAATTGAATGGTGTTTGTACTTGTGCTTGCAGCTTGCTGGTGTAGTTGCAGTTGAGGTAACTGGAGGTCCAACCATCGACTTTGTCCCCGGTAGGAAGGTGTGTGATGTGTGCATTCAGAAGTTAGTTGACTTGAGTATTTAGTTGATTATTACATCTCTGGTAAGTTACCAACTGAGATTCTCTCTGTCTATCAGGATTCAAAAGTTTCCCCCAAGGAAGGGCGACTTCCGGATGCCAAACAAGGTACCGATGGTTTCAGAGTTATTTAGCTTTCGAGTTCCAAATCTCATCTGATAATGTTTCAACTTTCAAGGTTCATGAGTTGGATAGTAATTAGCACGCGTGGGATAGAGGACATTTCAGAGTTCAGACCCATCTTCAGATGTAAAATTATCTCTATGGAACGGGGAGGGATGCGTATCTAGAGAATATGAATCTGAATGTGTAGGGATGTGTAGTTAGATAATATGAATTTGGGTTCTTACACTAAGTGGTATTGTTTAGCATAGGTTCAACTGAGACGAGTACACTTCCTTTTCAGGAGAAATGTTGACTTAACACTTGGTTTTTTCTGAATATTCTCGTAAACTAGTTGTCCTTAGTAATCAATAATTGAAAGTCTTCTCTTACCACATTTTGTTAAAAAGTCGTTCAAGTGAACAGAGACCATTGAACCAGTTATTTATTTGAATTCCTAGTAGATTTTTTTACTAAATGGTACATTCCTTACTGGTACTTTGCACTTCGGTGAAAGGTTCAATTGATTTCTATCAGCCTTCCTTTCCCGATATGTCTAGTTAAAGCATGTAGGCTTCAATTTAATGCTTCAAGGTCTAACAACTGTACAACTTCTTCCATGAGAATTCTTGCAATATTTTGAGGGCTAAGCAGTGTATTAGTCATGAAATATAGTGCTCCACTACTGCTAATTTATTCTCTTACCTGGTTGTTTACCAATTTGGAACACTGAATATTGTTTCGGATGACTGGCCATCCTTCCTTCTCTGCTTGCTCAAGGCATTCTACAAAGGAGACAACCATACGTGGCTTCTACCATTTTCCCATTTGTAGTCTACATGTTTGTAGTAATACTTGGGAGTAATTCTACATTTTTCTGGTGCAACTGTGTGCTAGGTTCGCCACATTTGAAGGATGTATTCTACAGGATGGGTCTCTCCGACAAGGAAATTGTGGCACTATCAGGTGGCCATACTCTGGTAATTTCTTGTAACATTCTCTTTTCTCTAGTAGTAGCTGTGCCATAGATGAACACAATCTCGGATTTTTCAAGTCGGTTTTTTGTTTTTTTCCGTCATGCAGGGAAGGGCACATCCAGAGAGGTCAGGCTTCGATGGCCCTTGGACCAAGGAACCCCTGAAGTTTGATAACTCATACTTCGTGTAAGGCTCTGAACTGACAGTAGACTGGTATTGCTCCATACCTAGGATCTCACTGTGACCTTTCTGGTCATAATACTAACCCTTTTCGCGACAACGATTCCAGGGAGCTGCTGAAAGGTGAGACTGAAGGACTATTGAAACTTCCAACTGACAATGCCTTATTGGATGATCCTGCTTTCCGACCTTTTGTTGATCTGTATGCAAAGGTAGCTCTACTTCTTAGTATAAATTTTTACTGCGCTTTATCATTCCCATTTATCATGTCTTCTATCTGATACGTTAACAAGGTTTATGTTGTGTTAGTTTTCACTTCTCAATGCGCTAATATGGATAATTTGAGGGGGGAAAACGTGATTAAGTGACTGTTTTCGTCGATTATTCCAATTTGTAGTGACAAAATCATCAAGAATCAAGGTTCATTCGACCGATTCGTTAATGACCCTAATACCCATTTCTGCCACACTGTTTTGATGTATGCTAAACCATTTCCAGGACGAGGATGCGTTCTTCAAGGACTACGCAGCGGCACACAAAAGACTCTCCGAGCTAGGCTTCACTCCAGGTCCAGGCTCTTCGGCCTCCACGGTCATGCCCTTAGACGGCATCGTACTGGCTCAAAGCGCCGTCGGAGTAGCTGTTGCTGCTGCGGTGGTGATCTTCAGCTACCTGTACGAAGTCCGCAAGAGAGCCTAATTAAGCAGGCCCGGCCCAGTCCAGCCCATCTCTGGAAATATTTAGCCCAATTAGAACAAGCCTTTTCCATTACCTGATACACGTGACCAAAATAAACTCCGTACCCTTTTCAATACCATGTTAGAGAGTGATATAAGATCCAGCATAACCTTCTCCCAACAACTCGAGTTATTGGGAGCAACTGGTTCATGACATGGTATCAGAGCCTAGAACCGAAAGGTTATGTGTTCGAATCTCTTCCACCAAACCGGACCCCATGTGACTGAAAAGTGAAAACGCAAGTCTTTCTGCCCCTCTCGCTTCCTTTCGGAATCATTACCGTAATGGTAGTTCTTATGGAGAAACCTCCTAACAAAGCATAAATCGGTAGGCGATTTTGTAGTGTTATGAAACGCTTGAACCATGGTTAAACTATGGTTCAGCATAAAAAATTTACCGCATATTTTTTTTTTCCATGCTACCTCTATTACGGTTTCACATTATTGTTAGTTAACATTCGTTAAATACTCATTACAATAACCACATACATGCTAAACGCATTAATGAAACAGAGCATTACAACGACCGCACACATGCTGAACGCATTAAGAACACCTGTTTCCGTAATATTTTGGAGTCTTTAGCTTATTTTCTTGTTTGATGCTTCACGAACTATACACATAAAACATTTTCACAAGTATTTGGATCGGACTGATAATTCAATATATATATATATTTTTATATTCATGTTCACTTCAAATCGTAAATTACTAATTATATTATAAACTGATGTCATAGTTTTAAATGTAGTATTACGTTAAAACTCCCGTCGCCTTCACCTTGCGAAATCTTATACATCAGTTTTCATTTAAAGCGCGGTAGGGTGGAAGGAAGGTGGTGGTGCTGAATTTGTTTGTGGCCATTCTTACCTGGTTTTAGTTACAACGATTTAATGCCCTTTTCCGAACCATTTTGGGACAGGTTTGGTAGCTCAAAGTTTAGATTGGTATACGCGCACTCACCTGTTTTAGCCTTTAGGTCTTCCTTTTTTTCTTTTTCCCGGCCCATTCCTTTCTACTTCTTGGTTGGTTTCTGGGATTTAAATGCGCGCAGGCAGGCGTCGGTGTGTCTCCTCCTAACTCTCCACTTTATTAACCATTAAAAACGTGAGGTTCCTGTTCCTTTCCCCTACCAGAACAGAACTGCATTATTGGATGTACAACGTGTAGATTGAGATTTCACCACTTTTTTACTCGTACAAGAGGAGGTTTCTTAGATGTGTGTATTTCTGCTGGTTCATGATCTGTTCATCCATTTTTTTCGGTCCCGATTCGGGCTTCGGTTGGTGAGATCTAGCTATGTATAGAGGTGAAGATGGTACCTGACATATGTATAGAAAATCTTAGATTGATTGATGATCAAAAGACATTTCGTGCTGTACAGAAACGATGAAGAAATGACTGGGAGACGAGCTACAAGAGAACGAGGACGCGAAGCGAAAGCGAATGAATCTGACAACCCTTAAAGGGTTGTCACCGTATCCCGTTCCAGTATATGGCTTATATGTATGGACACAGTTCAACTGCCTCGGCTACAGTTGGAGGTAAAATAAATTGTGAGCCAATCCTAATCCAAGGAATGTCCAATTATTTGGTCCATCCGTTTCTGTGAGTTCTGATTGGGTTTTTGGATCTGGATACGGATCCCCCACATCTGCAGATTTACAGCTTCCTTGAATAATAATAATAATAATAATAATAATAATAATAATAATAATAATAATAATAATAAGTCAAGAACAGTCCATTCTATAATATAATAAAATAACTATAGGTGGACAGCTAGCCCAGGCACAACCAACCATTTTCTGTTCTATAAGGATTATTATGGTATGTAAGCTTTTCTCCGTGTCCAGTTTTGTTAACGTACAATTCACTTTCGGGTTATTCGAATTTTTAATCCGACCGAGTTCTCAAAATTCGAGCTAAAAATATACGCTCTCTATGTTGATCGAATTAAAAATCTTGTTTTTATCAAATAACATGACTCGAACACATCAAGCGTGTCGTACGAAAGTCGGTAAACCGGATATGCAACTCGTGGTCTACAAATTTACCAAAACATCCCTATAAACCGGGTATGAGAAAAACAAAACAGGATTGGAGAAGAAGGAGAGGGATTATCCAGAAACGTGGGCCAGTGAGGATGGGCTGGGGGTCCTTTTTAAGGAAATGGAAAAGAAAGAGATGACAGCCCAACCCCAAAGGTGGGGAAATGACGGGTACCTCAATATTTATACTCGTTTTGTATTAAATGTGGGTAACGTAAATCATATAAGGGCGCTAGTGCGGATTGGAACTAGTCTTATACATTATTTTAAAAAAAATATTTTTTTAATTATAAAACAATGAGTAGTAGAGATAATAAATAGCTGAATTAACTCCAGTTAGTTGAAAGATGAAGGACTACACTTATCTAAACTATCATTGGGTGAATATATGATTTAAAATAAGTAAGGAACGGGAAGTGACGGGATAGTACGAAAGTGATACCCATTCTCCGTTTCACGCTACTGCATCAAGTAATGTACATCCCGACACGAATCAGGTCGAGTAATACAAGACGGAGCCGATTCGAATTGCAACTACTAAAGGTTGGTAGGTAGGTCAAGATTTTATTGTATTTGCACCTCTCTCTCTAGTCTCTAGTCTCTACCAATAATACCATACATATATACTACTACTAGCCTACTAGCAACAGCCTGTTTTCTTGATCTCGTCGTGTGTTGATGGTTTCAGATACCTAAGCACATTATGATTTACCAAAAACAAAGATTATACGTATACCTAAGCACATGACTTCCACGTGCTTCCTTACCAAATTTCCCAGCCCCATCAATGGAGGATGCATAATTGATTCAATTTGATTGATGCAAGAAATATGTTCAAAACGTTTTTTTAGAAACTTTCAGAGTGTAAATGGGAAAATGGAAATCACCTGTTAATAAGATTGTAATCAGGATGGTTGTGAGACGTCGAAAATATCGCATAACCTAAGACGGCATAGATGGAGTATATTGTCTTTAATTCAACTCTAGTGAACCATACCAAGTTTTGGATTGAACCATACAACCTCACCAGCTTGATATCCAATAGTACTGAGTTCACAATTCATAGTAAAAATCTCGAAGGTAATTAGTTAATAATTAGCAGAAAAACTTAAGCAAAACATCTATTCTCGCACAAAGACATTTGTTTGCTTTTGTCGCAAGAACAAATGCGGCAAGATACGTTTAGTTTTTGTACATATACAATATACGGTTGATACCATACCCAACCAAACCATCATCTCTATATGTCCATTCCCACAATTAATAACTCTCATTTTCTACTTGGCTCGATGCAAAAGAAAAACCTCTCCTTTTCTCTCATTTTCGACAACAACCTCTTTCCCATCCCATGATCTCCCCCTCTACCATCCACTTGAATTTCATGATGAGCGAGAAAGAGATAGATAGATAGAGAGAGAGAGAGAGAGAGAGAGAGAGAGAGAGAGAGAGAGACCTTCTCCTCCCTCCATAACCATAACCATGTGTGGTGGTGGGTAACAACAATGTGCTAGCTAGGCCGATTGACATGGAGTTAGGGATTGGAAAGGTTAATTCGCTCTTTTTTTCCTTCATGTTTTTGTTTTTGGGTTCTTAATGATCCATCTATCTCTCTCTCTCTCTCTTTCCCTTTCTTTCCCTCCCATTAGTTGTCATACTTTCAAGCCTTCGAATCGCTTTCAAGGTGGTGCAACTCATCGTCTCATCACGCTAATGCACTAAATGTTATGTACCAACTTCATTTCTGAAAATGCGCCACGCAAAATCGACATTTGTTCTTAGTGATTCGTCATACGATCAGAATATAAGCATCGATGATGTATTCTTGGTTGTATGAGTTCGTTTGAATGCCTCAAAATATACGATAACAAGATGTATCTAACAGCATGTTAATAATATAATATATACGATTACAAACCGTCTATTTGAATAGAAACCTAAACACATATATACCTTCAAGTAATGGATTGCAAAACTATATAAAAAAAAAACAAAGTGAAGTGGAAGGTGAACCTAAGCCCATAAATTAACTATAACCACAACCTTCATTCATTCATATCTCCTAGCTTCTCCCTTCCCTTTTCATTATTATGTAGTCATCTATCTAACTCCACTCCACCCCACCCCATCCCTTTCTCTCTCCATCCCAATCTAAAGCCCAACCTCCAACCCATCTAGAAGCCCTCTCTTTCATGCATGATGGTGCAATATAGCACCAATAGAAGAATAAAGATTAATAAAAGAGCAACAACTACCATATGCACAAATTCTATGCACAAACAAAATAACATGTAACCATCCTTTTGTTTTTACAAAATTTCTTTTCTTTTTTCTTTCCCTTTTTCCATTGGCATTTTCCCCACATCTCAACTAACTTTACCATAAATACACCACCACCACCCTCCCTAAAATTTTCAAACCCAACTAATTAAGTATGATTTAACCCTTCATTATCATTGTTATTATTATGTTAAACCTTCACCAAGCACCAGCAATCCTCAATCAACTTGAGTACCCTTTTGAATACCTGCATACAAACAAAAGGGAGAAGGGGGGAATTGAACAGAACCCTAGCACAGAAATGACACCCTGAAATTCTCTTCTCTGTCACCAAACACATGTACTTTTGTTATTCATGAAGACTGGACAAATTGGATCACTACAAGAGACAAATGCCGGTGGATTGATTTTGTTTAGTTAAGAAATGTCTCGTCGAGAGGGAGGATCATTTTACCATTATGTTCAGTGGTTGTACGGACATTGTCAGCAGTAAGATATCTTATTCGAATCTCATCATCGTCGTTGTAAAGAATACCGCTAGCTTATAACAGGTAGGGGGGAAGGGGGGCAACTAAGTAAAATAATCATGATAATGGGATCCCAAAATGAGAAGGTGAAAAGGGGCCCAGATTGGTTGGTTGGTTGGGAGCTTGGAGCAGATTGACCATGGTGTGAGTGAGTTTTTGTTTACCTAAACACAGAGTAATTGGTTTTGTTTTTGTTGTTCTCTAACTATAGGAGAGAACTCCAGTTATAAAGCTAACCAAAGTATAGTAGCTAGCCACCATAGTTACAACCGGTAGCAAGCAAGTAGCAGAATTGCTTGACTGGAAAGAGAGGTTAGAATATACTCGAACTTTGTGAGATCGAAGAGTGGATTTTTTGACGTCACTAATTGAGTGTTGGGGATGACATCGGTGAATGTGAGAGAAGGTTTTCATCACATCTTGGACTGCAAACGAGTCGAGTTTTTTCTTAGGTTGAACTCGGCTCTTTTGTAAATTTTTCATCTTGAGCTCGGTTCGAACTCAAATTTTGATAATCCAGCTCGAGCTCGACTCGGTAGACCTCGGTAACTGAGTACAAGCTCGGTTTAAGATGAGTTCGATCTGCAATCATTCTTGCTGAAAAATGTGAACAAATGAATTTAAATGATAAAAAGAACACTAGGAACTGAAAATAATAATTAACTTCCATACACATCCGTATTAACAAGATAATGTTCATGTTCAAAAGAGTAATTAATCCTTCTACTGAGTCGTGAGCTTAGATCAATAAGCCACCGAGTCAAGCTAGCTCACGAGCTTATCAAGTTAAGCATGGTCTAGCTCAAACTTGACTCGTTTACTAACAAGCCGAGTGTCGAACGAATTTTTCCCCGATTCGAACGCTAAATTGCTCGCGAGCGGGTTGGCTCATTTGCAGCCCTAATCTCATCATCCAATTGACCTTCTAGCTCCATCCACAAAACAAGAAGTAGAACTACGATTAGGAAATGGAAAGATTTTGCTAAAAAAAAAGAATATGCCCTCGGTTTGGGTGGGACTAATTATAACCAAAAGTAGGCGAGGAAGTAATATGACATACCAAAAACCTACTCGTATATGGTTTGGGGAAAAGTCGTCCGCATCATTCCGGACAAGCATATATAAATTCATTGATATAATGCGAAATTTATCTTACATTGTCGAATTTAATTTAAAGTTTTTGTTCAAACACATTTATATAAGTGATGAAAAATGACATTTGGGTATTAGAGATAATTAGATTACTTGAAGGCTGAAGTGTACGGATGACTGAAGTGTTGAAGCGAGTGAGTCTAAATTATAGTTGTAGCACATATTCAAATGAGTTGTGGAGACTTAAAGTACCAAAAATGCACCAAACTCATTATCCTCTTTGCCAAATTCGATAAATACCCACCCAAACTAATATCTGTTAGATTTTTCTCGACCTAATGGATTCATAAAAATAATAGAGATTAAGTAGCTACTAGGCACCGATTTGGTAAGATTTTTTCCATGTACATTTTTTGCTTATTCCAAAGAGGTATCATCACAGATTTCGGACGATTTTTTCGAAAGGCAATTTTACTTGAATTTCGAAGGCTACAAAACAAGGATTCTTCTGTAGGCTAATCTCCACCAATAATGAAGTCTATCAATTGGTGATTTGGGCATATTTATTTCGGATGTCAATTTAGTAATTATTTGGGTGATTTTTTCGAAAAACCATTTTCCTTTGTTTTTTAAGGCAACAGATCACGGATTCGGCCTAAGGCCATTCTTCAACAATGATAAGTCTATTAAGCACCAATTTGGGCGAATTTTTTTAAGGGCAATTTTTGGCATATTCAATACCACAACAGCTTTCAGGCGATTTTTACGAATGTCATTTTTTTGGATTTTAAAGGCTGCGGATCACAGATTCGTCCTTGGGTTAATCTCCACAGATGATGAAGTCTATCAATCACTGATTTTGACAAATTTATTTCAGAGGGAAATTTCGTAATTTTTTGTCGATTTTTTCGAAAGTCATTTTCCATGGATTTTGAAGGCTACAAATCACGAATTCGGCGCGAATGTATTCTTCACTATTGATTAAGTCTATTAAGCACTGATTTGGTCGGATTTTTTCTGGGTGCATTTTTGGCAGATTCCAAAGTTGTATCATCATAAATTTTGTGCGATTTTTTCAAAAGACCATTTTCCATGGATTTTAAATGCTACAGATCATGGATTCATCCTCAAACTAATCTCCATGATGAGCAAATCTATCAATAATTGATTTGGGCAGATTTATTCCGAAAGACAATTTCATAATTTTTGGACTATTTTTTCTAAACTCATTCAATCTCTAAGTTTCACTGTTGGCTTTTGACTTTTTGACTTTGTTGTTGTTTCTTTTTTTTAATAACGTGATAGCTGGAATGAACCAGCTTTACACAAACAAACACCTTCCATCCAATCCATTTCTCCTTCCTTACCTACCTGAAAACCCGACTTACCTACACTTCATTAATTGTATTTAGGCTCCCCCCACCCCCTCCAAATTAGTTAACAAATTTTGCCCTAATCCACTTTTTTAATAATAATTTCTCACAAATCCTCCTGATATTTTTTTTTTGTCATCAATACTATTTATCTTTAATCCAATAAAAAAAAATTCTGAGATTAGGGTAAAGGCAGAGTAGCACCCACCCTCCACTCTCCTACCTGTCTCACCAACTCGCATCTAGAAGCTTTTTTTTTTTCCCCCACTTATTCTTCTCCTTCTCCTTTCTCTCCAAGCAAAAAAGAGTCAAAAACTCAAAAGCCTATAAATCCACATTTCCTCCAAGTCCTCTCAAAAGCCGGCTTCTCCTTCTTCTTTTCTTCTACTTCTCCTTCTACTTAAAGTTAAAGCTGGATTTAAACTTAACTAAAAGCCACCATAACCTGAAGCTGCGATTTGCAGGAAAAGTGGAGGAGGAGAAAAAAAAAAATGGGGAGGTCGCCGTGCTGCGAGAAAGCGCACACAAACAAGGGCGCCTGGACGAAAGAGGAAGACGACCGCCTCGTCGCCTACATCAAATCCCACGGCGAGGGATGCTGGCGCTCTCTGCCCAAATCCGCCGGGCTCCTCCGCTGCGGCAAGAGCTGCCGACTCCGCTGGATCAACTACCTCCGCCCCGACCTCAAGCGCGGCAACTTCTCCGACGACGAGGACGAGCTCATCATCAAGCTCCACTCCCTCCTCGGCAATAAGTCCGTCTCCTACAATTGATTGGGGGAAAAAATAGAGAAATCTCGCCATCAATTTTTTTTTTGTTCTAGGGATTTATTATTATTATTTTTTTTTTTTTGTCTTCAGATGGTCGCTGATTGCGGGAAGATTGCCCGGAAGGACGGACAACGAGATTAAGAACTACTGGAACACTCACATCCGGCGGAAGCTGCTCAATCGCGGGATAGATCCGGCCACCCACCGCCCGCTCTCCGAATCCGCCGCACCCGCAGCGGCGGCGGCGGCGGCCGCCACTACTTCGTCGACGACGACGATTTCATTCGCCGCGGCGGCGAGCAGTAGGGATCAGGAAGACTGTAAAAAAGACGTCAAGAGGCTATCTTCGCCGCCGCCGCCGACGGCGGCTGCGGCGGCGGTGAAGAAGGAGGAGGAGGTGGAGGAGAAGTGTCCGGATTTGAATCTGGAGCTGAGAATAAGCCCGCCGTACTACCAAGAACAGTTCTACCGGGATACGACGCCGTCTGGCAAGGAGGAGCAGCAGTGTTTCGATTGTAGCTTGGGGTTGGAGAGGAGCAAGGATTGCAGTTGCAGGAGCAAGAGAAGACCGGTAATGGTGGTGAGTAGTATCAGTAGTGGTGGTGGGCCTGGGCCTGGGCCGAACGGGCCGGCTGCTGGGTTCGATTTCTTGGGTTTGAAAAGTGGGGTTTTGGACTACAGAAGCTTGGAGATGAAATAGTTGTGTGGTTAAAAAATTCATTAATTACCCCTCCCCAGGTTAAAAAAGTAAATAACTTGGTAGCCGAGGCTTCTTCTCTCTGTCTCTATTGGGTGATTATGATGATGGTAAAAATTAGATTAACCTACTTGATTAAGTAGTTATTTTATTTTATTTTTACTTTTTACGGTATTGCAATCTGTATGATGGTAATATCATATTTCGTATGTATTTATATAGATATACATGGATATAGATTTTGTTTCTCATTGTTTTGTTTTAACTTTACCCCGAGGTAATATTCCTCTCCTTATTTGCCACCTAACAAGCATAGAATTAGTGGGTAAAAAAGTTAAAAACACTGAAAAAGGTACGCATAGTTTAAGGTTCTCAAGGAACTTTTAGAATATTTTCATCAAAGCATCATTTGACTGAACCCTAGGAGATTAATTATGGAGTTGAAAGTTGAAACATCATCAATATCACTCAATTAATAAGATATTGTTCTTGATAAGTTAAGTTAAAGATGTACATATTTTTATATATCGATATGTTCCAACTTTGTAATTAAATCAATGTAAGAGAAATTGAAAACTATCCACGACCAAAAATTCAACATAACTATTTTAACCCCAAGATGTAAGATAGAATAAACGGTAAATTGTAGGACGGTCACTTTACTCTTTGGTCCTTTCTCTCCTTTGAGGCTTTGCCCCATCCCTCACTTTCCCAATAAGGTATGAACAAAGGAAGCCGAAATGTTATTACTTTCTGTCACTAGTTCATTTTGGTTGTGGGAAACGGATAAGTAGTGAGAGGAGGAGGAAGGTGGGGGGGAAAGTGGTGGGTAACCCATCTCTTCATCTCAACAAGGAAGAGATATATACCAATATATCAAATCAAAAAAAGAAGTTTTGGATCCAAATCTACTCATTAGAGAAAAGAGTTTCGAGGTATTGTCGATCGTATCGAATCCTTTTGACAGTTTGGACATTGGATGGCTGTCGCGTTCAGCTAAATTTCTTGATTAACAATACCAATTATGATTACACGAGAGGGAGTCATCACACGACTAACTTTTGTACAATAATCGGTGCGAGAAAAATACACTTATTTTATTATTTATTATTTATTATTCATGGTCTTGTTTGTTTATATGAAAGAAAAGAAAAGGTGTAGATTGAAGGAACTAACAACAAGTGGCCATAAATAGTACCAAAATAGATGGATCCGATCCCCACTGCTGCTGTTGCTGCCCATTCCCCCTTCTACCAACCTACATTATTGATCATTGTTTTTGCCCATCCATCAATGATCCAACCAACCAACCAACTCAACCCAATCCATTCCCTCTTCTATTCTATGTATGAATGTTCTTTATTCATTTTTGTTTTTTTTAAATATGGGGGCCGACGCCTGCCCAGTGTCGGCAGATCAAGGAAGTTGGTGACTCGATGACAGTGGAATCGGCGATCGAATCCTGTCAGTTAAGCGGCGACCGTAACTCTAACAGTCCTATATTGTTATTTATTTCTTGAAAAAAAAAATACAAGGAAGAATCTGTAATGAGGTAATTAGCGAGATCAGTAAGTCAGTATTATCATTGCTATAGTCTTTGAATGGTGACCCAATTACAGTAGTTAGTTAATCAACTGATTACCACGACGTAATTATCTAACCCCCTCTGATCGATCTACTGCATGCTTTCTCGTTGGAACTACAGCAACTCGACACGTATAGTAACCTAATTAATTAACGAGACATAAACCCCTAAACTTTAATCCACTATTATATTTGATACCCTTCCGTTTCCATGACTTCCCAACTTCATACCAACCGCTGGCTTTGATTATAATTAAGTTTTGCTCTTAATTACTGTACTTTTATTAAATCTCATCAGCACCACGAACCTTAATCTCCGATATTATGGTTTCAGAAATGTTGGGTTGCTTTAGCATGTGTATCTAACGAGGAAAACGTAACGATGGGTACACAATGTATTATTTTTTTAATCTAGAGAGAGAGAGAGAGAGAGAGAATTAATAAAAAAAACAGAAACTGAAGTTGCTGTCCAACGTTTTGACTTGATGGGGCCGAAATGGTAAGATTAGAATACTGCTAATTATGGATTAGTTAGCGGGGGGGAAAAAGAATTAGGGTTTCTAGAAGGGAAGTAGGTAGAGGGCCGGGGGAAGTTGTTTAATGGAATAATTAATCAAGGCGATTAAGCACAAACGCCCGCCGATGATGTTGATATGAAGAAATAAAAATATATAGTGATGATGGGTTTATGTCGTGTTTATCAGCCGTTAATTAATGTTAAATTGTTAATCACCCGTTGGTCGCTCGCTAAAACCAAATTAGTCTTCTAATTCTAGTCACGCCCGTCTTCCACTTTTGCTTACAGAAAAGTGAGGTGTGGTGTGTGAGGCGGAGCTACTCCTACTCTCCCAACTTCCTCTCTCTCTCTCTATATATATAATCTAATTGACTAGTAATCTTATTATTGTTTAGTGATGTTAGTATTAGCTAGCTTCAAAATAAGTGATTAACTTATCTTGCCCTAGTAATTATTTTGGTTTCTTTATTTTGTGTATAAGTTTTCTAGGTAAGAAGATGTACAACGGATTGATTTACTGAGTGTTGTAAGTACCCGTTCTACGAGCACCACATTCAGTGATGACGTCATCAAGTAATTTTTGAGGTGCCGAATTGGCCTATGGCCCATGTCACTTTTGAGGTCGAGGAAGGATGACACACTCTACAATCCTCAAAAACTTAACTGGACCCGACTTGGCTAGTGAGTGTCATAAGTCAACATTAGGATGATAGTATTTTGGTTAAGGCCGGTGTTAGAACGGAACGAGAAATTAACAATGCAAAAAAAAGTAGGGAACACACAGAAATTTACGTGATTCAGTAAGACGATGTGTGTTAGCTAATCCACATGCAAGAGAAACCGATTTCACTATATTTGATAAGATACATATTAGAACAAGATTCTCGTGACTTTCAGTCGACAACAACAGATAGATGATCAAACTTATAGTTATAACAACATTGAGGGAGTGTACTCTGAACAAAATGAAAGGTGAAAGTTGAAGTCATTGCACGTTTGTGTGTATGGAGTCAAAGACATTTTGCAGGAAGTCCTCAGGATTTCTTTCTTTCTTTCTTTCCGGTCAAAGTTTGGGCTCTCGTTTGCTTTTCCCCCCATTTGAATGAACTGAATAATATTATTGATTAGTTTTTAATCTAATGCACAATCACGTCATCAAATTTGTTGAATTAAGATGGTTGATTTCTGCGGGCTTATCAACATTTGGCACATAACAAGCCTTGATATTCCTCTGGTCAAGCCGCTTTTGGGTCCCTTTGGCTCTCTCCTCATGAACCAAGACGACACACATATAAAAACAATACCCATTTTCGAGCCTTTTTTATTTTTGTGATTTGCTAGCATGTAGCATCTCTCCTTAATAAAGGATAGAATTACGGTACAAAATTCAGAGCTACGAAACCCATTTTCTTGTTATCTTTAATGAATTATACAATTTTTATTATGATTGTATCAGGGGTGACATGATTCATTATCAACGATGATAAGATATGAGATTTTATTAGTTTATGGGAAAAAAGTGATGAATTGACGCGCGACTTTAATCCAACATCTAACTCTTTTTTTACCAAGAATTCAGGTGAACAAATTAAAATTCCGAGCAGATAATAACACAACAAATGACTAATATTCCAATGTAGGAAACCTTTGTCGCTTATTGCAACCATTCCTCTTTTGATGTAATCATAAATAAAAAAAATATTTACTTTTTTTTTCCAAATGTGTTAGGTAGTGACTTTATTAGAAGCTTCTATTGGATTTCAATTCTTATGTTTGTATTATTATCACCATAGATATATACTATTGTTATTCCTATCTCGTTGTCACTCACTTGCTCTCCAAGAAAATTACAACACAAGGCTGCCCTAGCTAGCGCACTATGGAGGAGAGTGAAGCAATAATTACTTGTTATGCCTCAAAATTCTACCAACTTCACATCACATGCAATATGACCTTTTGAGAAGAGGGGAGAAATATACAAAGTTTGATCTTTCCACCCCATATAATCAATCCCTAAAATGACGATTAACGAGTATTGAGTACAAATTAATCACTTTCATTTTGGATAATCCCCCATATTCGGTAGAATTGATTAGCTATAGGGTTCAATCGAGTTGAGTTTTTACCTGACTGTCGAGTTCGACTCGCGTATATCAATTATTTATTAGTATGTGCTCGAATCTATTTAACGAAGGCCAGTTTGAGTTCAACTTGAATGATAACAATCCGCGTCAACTCGATAAAAGCTTTTTTTTTTACGAATAACTCGATAAAAGCTCACGAGTAAAAATCCTGTCAAGTTGAGCACAAGTTTGACTTAAAACACTTTTTTTGTTGAAAAGATGACAATATCGGTATGTAATTATAAATAAGAAAAAAAAATCGACTAATAAGTAGACATTAGAAAGACAAAACGACTAATTTAACAATCTATGAATCTAATCTATTGAGCGTGACTTAGCTCAAACTTAACTCGTTTACGAACGGATGGAAAGTGGTGGGATGGTAAGTAATTGAGGGTTAGAAAAGAAAAGGAGGGGCAAAGAAAATGAGAGGAAGGAAAACGTCTATTTCCCGGCGCACGTTGCCAACCACTCCGGCTGGCTCTGGGTAGGTAGTTGGCAGCCGTCCGGCGACAGCTTCATGTGCTCAGTTGCGGCGGCGGGACCCACTGCACCGGTCACCATCACTCTCCTCCTCCGCCACCCGTCTCTCTCTGTACAAAATGTTCTTATCTTACTATTTTGTAGCCCACAAAATGATTCCTAAAAGAGAAAAGAAAAAAAATTCAATTATTCTTCATTTGGAAGGGATAATTTGAGCAATAATAAGAGCATATTTATCCGACTTTTCCAATTTCGAAGGCAAAGTTGAAAATGCCAATAGGTTAATGGTTACGTGGGTTTATTATGATAAACAAAAACGACAAACAAACAAAATATAAACATAGTTGATTAATTTAATTTTCCTGACAATATATATATATATATATATATTATTTACGGATACTTTAAAAGATATTATGTTCGAATTCTGATGATTGTGAATATCAATTATTAGTTTTCGCACAAACTATAAAAAAGAGTACGTACACATTTCAAATTTATAAGTGAGTATTTCGTTAGTATACGTTACCGCGATTTATAACTTCTAGATGGAGATACTTTTTTTTAGTGTGTGGGTAGAAAGACATGAGGAGGGTTTTGGGGTATTAGGTTAGGTAGGTGGGATGGGAGGATATGTCTAAAAATCGATGGCCAAAAAGGCCAAAAAAAAAAAAAAAAAGAGAATCCAATCCTATCTAAATCCATCTATCCCATTTCTAGACTATAGATAGTCAACTCTCCTCCTCTCTTTGAATCTTCTGTAGAAAAACTTTGCTCTCAAGTCCCCTTCACTATCTTTGGTAAACACCTCAATTCAGGTACATATTCGATATACAGTTATGATAAGTTTTATTTTAGATCATTATCGAAGTCTTCTTTCTTCAATTACACTATTGTTATTATTGCCACCGAACAATTAATATAGAATAACCACTAAAATATAATTGCTCGACTAGTCGATTTACTTTTCGGAGTCACTAGAATGCTAAATGAGTGTGCCCTTGGTGGTTAGCTTTGAAAATGAGGCAGGTGGAAGGCATAGAAGAGCCATGGAGAGTGGAGATAGATAATATCAATGATATTATAGTTTAGAAACATGTTTCTAGATGAAGCAAAGACGCAATGATGATTTTTTTTTTGCCAAATGAAAGAACCCAACCTTGACAATGATGAAAGGTCAATAACTTAAATAATCAAATTAGGAGGAGAACAAAGCCAATCTCAGGATCCATTGACTTATGGATTTGGTGACGACTAAGTAGTTGGGTGTTAGTTCCATAATTCTCTCATAATCAATTAATAATTGAATATTTAACAAAACACTCTATTACTAACTTTTTTCCCATCTTACAAATTAATAATCCAAAACAGAAGTGACAAATTCTTCTGTATATGCGATCGTATAAAAGCTAAAAAGATAAATAATGGGCTACATAACATGTTTGCAAGAGCTGATAATAATCATTATGCACATGAAATGATAATAGCTAGATTGAGTGGCTTTATCGGGCAAGCATCTCGTTTAATTGTTTGTAGATAATTACTTTTGTGGAAAATTTTCTATAATATTACTATATGATCGTTCAACTGTTCAAAAAATAATGTATATGTATCTTCGTGAACCCATGGTTACTTATGTACTCATCAATACTACCTCTTGAATCGGGTTCGGCTTGCTCTTCTAAAAACCAGTAGATATTTACCAAATTTTTTTAATGAGTGCACCCGCTTAACCGTGTGTTGGGTTTGAATATAGAGAAATCCGACCTAACCCGATTGCCATCCCAACTTTCAAGTCCAAATAGGCACCATAGAAGAGGTCCATTCCACTCCATTAGGACTTAATTTCCTTCCTCCATCTCCTCTTGACTTCTTCTTCTTCTTCAGAGCAAATCAGCAGTCGGTCCCAAGGTCTTTTTCCAGTCATCAAGAGGGTCGGCAGTTGGTGTTCTAGCTAGCTGTTTATAGCAGTAGCAGTACTCTTGAATTTTCAGCTGCTTTCTTTCTACTTGCGCATGGGATTTGATTGGTTTTTCCAAGTGGGGAAATTAAGTCAAGTCAGATTGATCAGACTCGTCGTCGAGTCGACCCACTGAATTATTGACAGCAACCGCCAAGTCACCAACAACCCTTTCCAATAAATGCTTAGAGAGATCGATCGATATGAACCTATAATCTCCAATTAATGTGGAGGGGACCGTTTACTTTTCTCCCCCTTGATGATCGCCATAATTGAGACAAACAGTGGGAAACGAGTCTGTCTGAGCAAAATGGTCACTGAAAACTTGTCAAAATGGTCACTCTGCACCAGGGCTCCAAATGAGTCAAACTGTTTACGAGTTGGCCGCATGACGTTTGGTTCAGGAAAAAAAAAAACTCGTTTGACACTCAGATCAGTGACCAATGAGTCGATACGAACTTGAGCTAAGCCTTGTTCGGCTCGCAAGGCCTGTGATCTAGCTCGACTCGATGGCTTGTTGAGCACAACTCGCGAGCTAGGCGTTTTGAGCTATGAGCCGTGGCTCGACGGCATGGTTAGCGAGCCAAACTAGCAACTTGTGAGCAAGTAGGTTAATAGCTTATCAATGACAGGATATATATCTCATCATGTATTATGTTTAAGAATATGAACAACTAAAAATAATGAACTAATTAAATGACATGATACCTTATCTACTGAGCTCAAGTAGAGCTTGTTGTGAGCTTGTTAATGAGTCGAGCTCCAGCCAAATACAAGCCGAGCTCGAACCCGACCTGTTTATCAATGAGTCGAGCCCAATTTAGATCAAAACTCGATTCGAATTGGTTCATTTATTACGGCTCTACTATGAACAACAAAATGCATACCATCACCGTATATTTAGTCGTTCGCTAACTAGACCGGTGCAAATCCATCATGCCAACAAAGCCGTGTTAAACAACATCAACAACACGCCTTATTTGACATCTACCTGGATTTCGTCAATGATCAATTCCCCCTAGCGACCATAAAACGGGTGAGAAATTTTACAATGCTATATAGTATCGGTGCTATAGGTTTTTGTCTTTATGGTATAACTTAAAATTGTACATTTATGTTATGGTACAACTTCAGATTGTACCTATACTTTTTGTACAAATTCTTTTATGGTACAACTTGAACTTGTACCTTTATGTGAAGGTACAACTTCAAGTTGTAAAGTTGTACCATAACATAATGGTACAAATTGCTTTATGGTACAACATAAACTTATAAATTTAATGTTATGGTACAACTTTAAGTTGTACATTAAAGCACCAATACTATATAGCATAGTAGAAGTGCTCAAAACGGGTAGGTAGCAAGTCGAGAGAGGGCTTTTGTCGATAATGAAGTTGCTTCTTCCCTTTGCCTTCTGTCGCTTATCTGCATCAGACTGCTACCAGAAACTCCACATGCCTGTTCTATTCTATTCTTCCAGTAAGGTACACTACACACAACAGAAAAAAAGTGTCGATGGAGGACTAGTACTGAAACCGACTATTAGGTAAACTCGTGTCCTTCTCTCATTAACGTTTTCCCAGCTGGTTAATTCCTCACCTAAAACGCGAACACTAGTACTAGCTAGTACTATCATTAATGGTGCGTACAAGAATTGTCTCATTTTCAAAGTGCTTTATTATCGTGCCAAAGAGAGAGGAGAAATCTCACATTCTCACCGGGGTTGTTTCCTCAAGTCTTTGGACTTTGACATGTTTACACATTCGGAGTTATTGAGATGAGGTTGTTTTCGGCATGGTGTTAGATGACTTGATCGAGAGATCTTGTATTTCAGTCCTCGGCCATATCGATATTTAATTTCATTTGAGGAAAAGATATACTGAGTTTGTGTAAATTTATGGTTCGAAATAATTTTCCATTACTGGATAGTTTGCATGAGGTATGTTACTGGTAGGGGTCGTTTTGGAAGGTTCGATTGTTAAATAGATATATAGTGGTGAGTACATGTATAATATTATTCATGTGTTGATGAATTCGATGCATTTTCGAAATACAAACGTTTAATATGTGTGATTGTGTGTTTCACATAAGTTAAAATTTGAGATGTAACAATCTCAACTCAGCTATCTCAACTAAAAATTGAAATATAACAATCACTCATTTTAAGTGATGATTTATGTTACCTCATAGAAACAGTTCATATGTATAGATAACAAAAATCAGAAAACAATGTATTATGAACAGTACCAATATACTAACAATCAACACGACAATCACAGAAGCGGTAATATCTCAAAACAAATTCATAAAAAATATCTCAAAACAAGTTATTGGGATAGAATGTTCGTTTTGGCGAGTGAAATTATTGAGACATTTTTATTTTTGACGATAGGGTATCTCATTTTAGTTAATTTCTCAGCTCTGATCACCCTTCCCAATACTATATACATATTCCCTATCAAAATACACTCAATTGTAAAATGCAGTTTCCTCTGAAGGAAGGACTCTATAGTCTTTTTGGACCAATGATCCCCCTCCCCCATTCAATCCCGATCCAATGCTTCTTCTACTGTAGTACAATATGCATAGGCTTAGCCTAATTTACTTCTCATTCAAGCCCATTAAAATGAAATCCATATGTTAAAATCATAACGGTTTCAAAGCAAAGATCAACCATTAATCCATAATCCAATTTCCAAAAACATGTGGATTTCATGTCAATGTAACTATTAGTTTTAGATAGGGATAATATTTTATTATGGACCAAACAATTTTGGTATGAACTTTGAAATAAGATTTTTTATTTAATATTGAAAGAAATAGACAAATTTGGCCCGAAATTTAGATTGACATCTAATATAAATTGTCAAATATTTATTCCGTCTATAACTCAACATTCAATTATGAGATGGTTGTGACGTGTCTTTCTAGCCATTTATTTATAAAAGGGGGAGAATACACTATTTTTTGGTACGAACTTTAACAAAAGGGAAAAATTGGCCTAATGTATTTGTTTATGGTTAATCAGAAATTCCATATGGCAACAGGAAGCCTTTTAACCAAGTGTACCATTTACAACTTGCAAAATTTCATCACAACTTACACACCACTTAATGAAATTTTCAAATAAGACAACTTGGAAATTTGAATAAAACGTACAAATTTAGCTTAAAATTTAGTTCGACTATTAATATTTTATGGTCTTATTTAAAATATTTTTTAAAATTTGATGTTTTTAGTTTTCAAGTATTTTTATATTTTTGTTATAAATAAATGATGTGGAAGTCACGTTGTAACCACCTTAACATTGTAAAATGAGTCATAGATCTAAGAAATGTTTGACCTCAATATTAACTGTAAAAAAATTTGAACCAAATTTGTCCATTAAAAAAATCGAACGAAACTGCTATATTTGACATTTCAAGCCAAAAGTGTCTTTTACATCACAGTTGATCTCAAAATACAATATTATCCTTTTTAGTCACATACAGATTTATAAAGTTCTAACCTTTAGTGGGTTTGTTAGATAGGATTTATCAGTTAAATATTGAAAAGATATTATTTTATGAAGATAATTGTTATTTGGTCATGAATTTAAAACAAATTGACTTTGGAAATACTATCATTCCTATGTGTATCTAGGACGTGCTTAAAATATGAATTTCCAAATTGTGACTATGGGGCAGGATAGATACCAGTTAAATGTCATTTGGATGCTTGATTACGTAATGAATCATTGATTTTGCAAATGAGATGGCATTGTTTTCATCTGCACTCACTTTGATACTGGCAAATCTATAAATTATGGAAGTAAATCGTTTTGGGCTAAGATGAAATTCATATCATTTTAATTTATGTATTTTGTTGTGTGGTATAAGTTAGAGTAAAAACCCAAATTTGGTGCCATAGTAATTTTTTTTAATGGAAGTGATAAGATGAACCACTTCCTCCCGTGAGAGTCAAAGATCAAATCTGACCACCAATCCCACAAAAACATTGGAAGAGTGAAATTGAAAATACATGATGGGGATAAAGAAAATACGAGTTTTAATATAACAAGAGTCACTAATACGTATATGCTTACTTTTTCAGTAGTATTTTGGGCAGTGCGTATTTCATCAAATGCAAAGTTGTTAAAGTTAGGAATACAACAGTGTTAGTATGATGCATATGTAACCTGTTTCGAAAAGTTAAAGAAGACTTTGACGAGTACTTTTGTCAGAATTGTACAATGATATTAGGAAGACAACATGTAGGTGATAATATATTTCTACTCTTCCATTATTTTCAACTTCAAATTCATTAATTCCATAAAAAAATGTCATACCCACTGAAACGTAAATTCTTTTACTAAATAGTGGATGTCATTTAGTGAATCTCATTTGTTGTCATTTTACGGATTCAGGATCGAACTCCTATTGTGGACACAAACGGTAAATCCAAATTTGTAATTTTGGGTCACATGAAAGTTAGATTTTTGGAAAGTCTTGCTAGAAAAATATTACAAATCAATGACAAAATGAGAGAACCTCCACCTCCTTATCTACTATATAATTGAGGCAATGGAATTGAAGTTTGACATAATGCTCAGGATTACCACCCCGCAAACCCTATAAATGAGTATACAGTTTTAACATAAGGGTAAATTTTACTTTAGCTAAAATGATATGTCATATTTGAAAACTTTTAATGATTAAAATTTTGCTTTCAATAAAATGCAAGAGAAGAAGAAAAGAGTATACTAATGGTGGAGGTAGAGAATCTGATGAGGGAAGACTCTTGGCACTCGTGATCGATTAATTGAAAGATACAATTAAATGAGAATTGGCCAAAATTAATGACATAAATAAACTACATGATAAGGAAGAACCGAAATAGATGGAGATTAGGAGAATTAAGAGTAATTTGAAGAAAATTGATAGAAATTCGATGAGGCGTAATGTGGCAGCTGAATGGAAAGTTTGCAGTTCACGCTGCTGACACAAAAAAGTAATTGCATCATCCATCCTAATTGAAGATAATACTTGCTTATTCTCTGGCACTGAGATATCCTTCAAAACTTTCAAGTAAATACGATTAATGTGGGAGCTGGAACGACATAGATGATGGTGTTGGGTGCTAGGATAACGAGACTTTGACACGAATTGACGAGCGATCTGATTTTGAAATCAAAGATTGATTAATAGGAAGATATGATTAGAGGAGAATTAGGCAAAATAAGGGAAATAAATAAATTATCATACGAGGAAGAATTGAGACTGGATTGACACTAGAGCATTTAGGGACGCGGGGCTATAAGAGAATCGATAGAAATTCAGGTAGGGATGGCAATTTGAACCCGCCCCGACCCGTGATGGGGCGGGGCATGAGTATCAACTTCCGACCCGCCCTGCCCCATTCTTACCCTGTTCTATGTCAATTTTTTACCCCATCCATTCATATATATCCTATTTTGACTTTTATTCAACTATTTAGATGTGATCTTTCAACTAAATAGACTCAATTACTTATTAAATTATCACTATTATTCATTCATCAAGTATTTTCCCCTTCGTTTTATCATAAAAAGTAAAATTGTGCGTGTATTTTTCTCAAATAGCATGTAAGAGTGGGTCATCCCGACCTGCCCCGTTCCCGCGTGGGTATTACCCGCCCCGACCAGTACTAGCTTGGGGCGGGGCATGGGTAGTGAGGTACCCGCCCCGCCCCGCCCCATTGCCATCACTAAATTCAGGGGGTGTAGAGTAAAATTAGGGTTTAGAGAGAATAAAATTGAGAGGATTAGAGCGGACGAACAATGAGATAATTGATTCGGTAAATCTTTTGTTTATTCTTTAATAATGTAGTTGGATGAATAAAGTACAAATATACAAGAACACACAAAAAATATAATATTATTCGAACACTCACTTAAAAGCCACAAAAATGGTCAAATAACGAATCCACACAATTATTGTCATAGCTACCCGTCAAAACAAATCCATATTCTAAGAATAATTAATAACATCGGTAACTAATTAACCATTACCAGAGTAAGATAATGGTCATGTTTTCAGTGATGAAAATGAAGGAATTGTTATTAGTGGGTACATGCAAATGCGGTTTTAGTTTAGTTGGTGAATCGCTCAGAACGTCTAATACTTTTATGATATATATATCCTTTTGAAATGTTCCCAATAATTTATTCTTTTATAATACTTGAAAAAAATATTTTGTGCTTCTTACTATTGTAATTGTTGTTTATATTATTTATCAAATTAACCCGACCATCGGGTCGGGCCCAAATCTAGTATCTAGAGAAGAGTGGTGAGGAACACATGCTTGTAGAGGCACGCAACATTATGCTGGGCCATGATGTAGTCAAGACCATGGATGGGCTTTTAACCCTTTTTATTTTGGGCATCTTAGTTTGGGCTCATAGTTCGGAGGCCCAAAGTCTCGGAAAATGTTGAAAGGGGGAGCTACTAGTTTGGCCAAGGAGCTTCCTTCTTCCTCCGCATTCCCGCGGAAAACTTCTCCGGGACTTCAATCAGTCCACCGTCGTCGTCGGCCATGGCTACGCTTCCTTCCAAGCCAATCGCCGGTGAACTTCTTGCTCTAACAGGGTTGACTCACAGTCAATTTTTCATGATCTGTACTTTTTTCCCCATTCAATATCCGACCTAACGGGCACAATAATTGTCTAGGCGACTCATTTTTTTAGGTCGTTGATTTCGTTTTCAGATGATGTTAGCTTATTGGTTGTGTTGATCGATACCAATCCGTTCTTCTGGAGCACATCCTCGTCCTCTCTCAATTTCCACCAGTTCGTCTCTCATGTAAATCTCTCGCTTGCTCCGCGGTTTTTACTTGCAAGAAACCCTAGGCCTTTCTGATTGGCCTTCATCCTGCTGAAAAAACTTGGTTATACTGTTGTACATTTGCCCTTTCAGGTGCTGGTTTTTCTCGATTTAATTGTGCGACTGAGCCAACTGAATCAAATCGTGGTCATTGCTACTGGGCATAATACCTGTGATTACATTTATGACTCGTCGTTGGATACGGATCAGGTCACCGGGGAAGGCGAATTGCCTGCTTTGTACTCTTTTGTATTGCAGAGATTGGAGGAGTTCGTGAACAAGGATGAGAAGTTGGGGGCCAAACAGGATGGTTTGTCAGAGAAGAGGGTTTCTTCGTTGCTGTCTGGTTCGCTGTCGATGGCCCTCTGTTGTATCCTTAATTGAGTAGTTTTGGTTTTCAGTTTTTTCAGGGTTTCTTGATGTTCAGTCTTTTGCATTTTGCCTTGTTAGTTATGTATAATTTGAATGTCTAAATGTATTCATAGACTTCTGGTCTTGTGTGTGCTAGATGTTCGTTATGAGTGAGAGTACCTAAACTGGCTGATTTTGTTCAACTTGACTCTTGGTTAGATATACAAAGGGTTTTCCGGTCTGGGCCACTCCATCCACAGCCTCGAGTGAGTACGCACATCCGTGCATTATGTTAGCTTTTCTTACATGCTTAATGATGTGCATTGTATAGAATGCTAAAGACTGTCCACTGTTCTAGCTTGCATTGGCAATTTCCATTTCTTCCATTTCAATCAATCTGCATGTTTTAACACCACCTCCAAAGTGATGCTGTGTAGGCTGATAGTCATATAAGTGGACTGTCTTGTCCTTCAAATGAGCTCCTTTTTTTTTTTTTTTGTCATGGAGAATATTTGAAACATTTGTGAGAATGGTGATTGTCTTGTTTAGGTCCAGCATGTTTTCTTTGTTTCCTTTTCTGCCTTTGGCTACACATTGATGCTGAAACTCATAATAAATATGGGTAGCAGCATCCTTGGAAAAGATTGGCTGAAATTCATGAGGAACTAATCATTGTTTACTTCCGCCTTTCATGGTTGCATATACCCTGTTGCAATGTTTTTTTTTTCCTTTGGCCATGGCACTGACAGACAAGTGCAGATATTGTGTTTGCAGGGATCTCCAGATGGATCTGAGCAGTGCGTTCTTTGTTCATTCAAGTCGCTTGTGTTTCTTTCCCTTTGGATCTCAGTCTGACCCTTTTCTTGGTAATCCAGATATGTGTCGATAATGAATGCAATCTTCTCTGCACAGCGCTCAATGGTACTACAATGCGGCTATTTTTCCCCTCTTCCTATTCATATAATTTTATGGTTCTGCCTACTTTTGTTTAGCTGTGAGCATTTTTTCTATTTTGGAATCGGATTTCATCTTGTCAAAGTTTGCTCAGAGATATATTATGTTCTCCATGTTGAGATTGACTTCAACACTGTTAATTGCCGCTGCTGCAGGTGCCGATAGATTGTTGTTATGTTGGTTCCCATAATTCTGCCTTCTTGCAGCAGGTAGTAAATCCTTCTGCATGATATTCTTTTGCCGATGGGGGTAGTTATTGATATCTGATCGATCATTGTCTTGACAGGCTTCATACATAACAGGAGGTGTATATGTTAAGCCCCAACATTTGGAAGGGCTGTATCAATACTTAGCGGTATGTCTCATTCTCCTTTCCTATAGAGTTGTATGTGTTACGTTGCAATAGTGAAAAGCCATGTAGAAACTATAAATGGTCTTGGTTGAAACTACTGGCTCGGTATCACAGTCTCATTATCTCTGCAGACTGTGTTTGCTGTCGACTTGCACTCGAGAAGCTTCTTACAACTGCCAAGGCCAGCTGGTGTAGATTTCCGTGCTTCGTGAGTGTGGTTTTCTTTTGTTCCTTCCGTTTTCAATACATTTCTTTGCTGCATTGATTTGCTCTCTTCATTTCTATTTCCGTACCAACCATCGAATTGAAGGCCTATTTGTTCTGCATATCATACGCAACCAGCTGGCTCCAGAGATGGCAGTTTTTGCTGCATTGATTTCTAATTACAAAGCAGCAACTAATCTACTGTGTTACTGCAGATGTTTTTGCCATAAAACAACAATCGATATGGGCTATGTATGTTCTGTTTGCTTGTCAATATTCTGTAAGCATCATGACAAATGTTCGACTTGTGGGTAAGTACTTTTACTGTTTCCTTGGTTTTCCCCTACTGATCATGTACGATATGAACTTGAAACATCATTATTTTTGCTATGTTGGCTGTTCATCAGGTCGGTCTTTGGTAAGGCTCAGTTAGATGCTGCATCGGATCGCAAGAGAAAGGCCTCCGAATCATAGATCTTATAAATCTTGTTAGAAGCTCAGTCTCAAAGTATTTTTAACAGCTTGCCAAATCTTTCTTTGCTTTGTTAAATGCAACTGAGCCATTTGACTTATTCGTAATCAATTATCGACGTGTATTTTTAACAGTTTGTCAAGCTATCTGAAACTTCAACTGGAGAGGCAGATATGTAGACATCCGGATTCACCCACCAAGACTTGCAGCTTTTCTGGAGCAGAAATAAGAACGCCCTTAGAGCTTCCACGAAACTCCGTTCCAATCTCCATTACTGGAGCTGGAAGCAGCCATGTGAATGCTCGACGTGGAAGTAGCTCCAAGAACTACCATTCAAAATTTCTCATCTATTTTTGGAGGGCTGTCTTTGATCTCTTGTTGAAGCTGAATTTTGATAGTGATAGCAAAGTTTGTAACCGGAAATGTTACTTTGATATGTTGTCCAATCCAATCAAACAAGGAACTGAAATATCACAATGTTGTGAACACCATCTCCCACTAATATTTACAGAGAACACATATACAATTGACAAGAGCTTGAACAATCACATAGTTCGAAATCGCGACATAAAGCTCCCCACGCAAATTCGTTATATTTACATCACACAAGAAGTCTTGACCTCTGATTCACAGAGCCCTGAGGACAACTTTGCTGGTTTTGTGAACACCCACGGCAGCATATTTCCACACAGCCCGAGTCTTGTACAAACTGCACCATCCAACATAGCACAGCCATAAACTGATTCAGTAAAGCTCCCTGCTTATAATCTTTCCATGAAACCAGACGTGCACCAAGCAAAACGAAATTGAAAAACTTGGATCGCAACAAATCACCACAAACAAGGAACTAAAGTTGAAAGTTCTTGCATTTACGAAGTTCATTTAGAAGTGATTGTGTGTTTGAGCAATTGACGACAAGTCTAGATGAATTACTGAGTTAAGAATGTCATTCTGAGAACATAAGCAAAAGTACTCACCCTGCCAATGCAATTCCCCAGGTCGAAAGAGCATAAAACAGCTGCCACGCATGCCAAATACCCATTGCTCTCTCAAATTTGCTGACACCACCGCCGCCCAACGCTTGTGTAACAGCTGCAAATTCACAAGCTCACAGTATCAGTACTTTGTGGATGGAAGCCTCCAAATATTATTTCCTCGTAAATAAAAAACAAGTAGGAAATTGGTTTCAGGCAGTCTGAGGCTCTAAGGTATCCTCAATACGCATGACTACTTCTATTAGATTTACAGCCATAAACCCTTTTAGTATATGATCAATATCATTGTTAGCTCTTCAGAGATTACTTCCAAGGACATGATGGAGTGTCGCTGATAACTGACCTTTCTGGAGAGCCTCGGGGGAAAGTTTCTGCATTTCCAAGCAGGGAACTCTTGTAAGATACATCATGTTATAAAAGCAACATCAAGATGCTTCGATAGCTTGATAGTGAGATACCTGAGATTTTGGGTTTGCAGTTATGCACTTAGCCATAAAGGTAGCAACTGCATCAACCACCTGATCCTCATTGATGACCACATAGCACTCATTATCTATCCCACTGTGTTCTTCAGTATTGCCATGAATCATTTCTTCAGTGACCCATACCCACCTACTAGGTTCTTCTTGGTCAACCTTAATAAGAACTTCCACAGTGTGCAAGTCATCACCTGATCAAAGGAAACAGGAGAGCACCTCAATAAGTATCAAAAGACATAAAGTATCCTCACAAAGGAACTGAAAAAAACACTAAGTGGCATATGTAGTGATACCTGTAGCCTCCTTGAATGGGAATCCAGGAGTAGCTCCATTTCTGGTTGCCTCTTGGAGGGATTTAAGCTGGCTCAAGAATTTTTCAGAATCCACAGTGGCAGCCAGGCGAGCATAGAGCTGTATTTAAGGAACCAAAAATCCGATGACATTACAGTTATGCTAATTAGCAATCAAAGAACATTAATTTCAAATCCAAATCTCATACCCACAAGATCAAACACAGAGAAAGCTATAAGATTTCCACTAATTGTCCTAATTAGCGAAACAAGTTTGGCTTTTTCAACTCCTCGATGTGCCATATTCTCTAACAGTACAATGAATTCTACTACACAAGACTGCAATTTTCGAGCAAAACGGAACTCCAGCTCCAGCAGTAAAGAACATCAGAGAAAGAAGCTGAGAAAAGGGTACTCACATCAGGAGGGCAATCACTCATCAAAGGAGGCGATTCTGACAAATTCTGGAGGAGCTTGAGATTGTGCTCGAGCAAGCTCTTCAACCGCCGATTCTCGGATCTCAAGGCTACCAATTCTTCATCTACCGACATAGATTCCGCGGCTTTGGCCTGCGTACCGGTCTCTTCTTGATCGTGGGTGTGGAGATGGTGGTGGTGGCCGAACTCCATGGCCGTCCACGCCACGTCGGCCACCTCGATGACCGTCTTCGCCACCTCAATCGCAGCTTTGGAACCTACCATCGCCGTCGCTGGGTATCAGTACGTTCAATTTTCAGCCTAGTTTTGTTCCGAATCGGACGATTGATTAGAGTGGCGTGTGTCTCAACGAAAGCGAGTTTGACAGGGGAATAACATAGTTATCGTGCGGTTTGCTAGCTTGCTCCCTCGTATTGTTTTTCGGAGGGGCAAAATGGGTTTATTAGAGACCGGCAGATCATTGATAACATTCTTATAGAACATGAATTAATGTACTATCTGAAGATCAAAAAGCAAGGGAAGAAAGAGTACATGGCTCTGAAGATTGACATGGAAAAGGTCTAGTTGTCTTTGAGGGCAAGCAATTTGGGATTCCGGCGCTTATGCGACAGTTTCACAAACAGTATGAGGAATGAGTGAGTCTATCTTCGGATCAGTCTCCGAGGGTGCCTATCCCGTTGATGCAACCAACAGCGCATGTGGGTGATTCCCATTTGGTTTGCATGTGAGACGGGGCTACTAAGGGTGGGTCGCATTCAGCTGATGGGATGGTTCTTTTTGACTCAACGCGGACACTCCTTCTGGCTAGAGGGGTTCAGTTTTCTCAAATGGATGACCCGGAGATGGTGGAATTACTTGTGCTTAGGGAAGCGATTGTTTGGTGCATGGAGCAAGGCTTGTCGGAGGTCCGGTTTAAGTGCAATGCGAAGGTGATTATTGATAAAATAAATCAAGCCAACACGAGAGATAGCCGGTTGGGTGCTGTTTTGGAGGAGATTGGTCATTATTTTAGTACCCAATCTGGTTTTAGTGTGCGTTTTGTAGGTCGGGAGAACAATAGGGTAGCTCATTTGGTAGTTAGGAAAGCCCTTTCTTTGTATCCGACTATGAGTCGCTTCTTTGATTTCCAGTCCTGGCTGGTTTCCATGGTGTAACTGTCTATCTTCGATCAATACATGATATCTTTTGACCAAAAAAAAAGTTTATTAAGCAGAATTCGAGAATGAGAATTTTTCCGATATCATTTTTGGCAAATTTCAAATGGGTATGATCACAGATTTTGGGAGATTTTTTTGAAATATCATTTTTTTTAATTTTAAAAGCTTCATTGATTGTTAAGTCTATCAAGCACTTCGATAGATTTTTCTGAGACCATTTTTTGCATATTCCAAATGGGTATCATCAAAGATTCCGGGCGATTTTTTCGAAATATTTTTTTTTTTTTGCTTAAAGGATACAGATCACGAATTCGGTCAGAGACTATTCTCCACACATAATTTTGACATATACCAAAAGGGATCATCACAGATTTCGAGCGATTTTATCGAAAGACTATTTTCCTTATATTTTGAAGCCTACAGTTTACGGCTTCGACTTCAGGCTATTTTAGTATTTTTCACTAATGATAGAGTCTATTATTTGACAATTTTTGTGAATTTTTATAGAGGGCATTTTCGAATTTTATTTTTTCGAAATGTCATTTTCTTTGAATTTTCAAGACTACATAGCATATATCCGGTCTGAGACTAATCTTCACCGATGATTATGCTTATTAAGCACCTATTTGGACGAATTTTTTCCGGGATCATTTTTGGCAGATTCCAAACGGGTACCATCATAGATTTCAGGCGCTTTTTTCGAAAGGCCATTTTCCTATGATTTTGAAGGCTACAGATCACGGATTTGGCGTGAGGCTATTCTCCACCGATGATTAAGTCTATTGAGCATCGGTTTAGGCGGATACTTTTCGGAGGGCATTTTGGTAATTTTTTGAGCGATTCCAAAAGTCTATTAAAGGGAAGAGAATTTTGACAGGGGAATAGCATAGTTATCCTGTAATTAAAAGTCTATTAAAGAGAAGAAAATTTTGGCCGAGACCAGGCAAATTCCAAAAGATATCATCACAAATTTTGAGAGATATTTTTAAAATATCTTTTTTTTTTGGATTTTTAAGGTTATAAGTAACGAAATCGGATTAACGATATTCTTCATCGATGATTAAGTCTATCAAGCACCGATTTTGATAGATTTTTCTGAGGCCATTTTTAGCATATTCCAAAGGGGTATCATAAAAATTTCCGGGCGATTTTTTTGAAAGACCATTTTTTGGGGGGTTTAAAAGATATAAATCACGGAATCGGTGAGACACTATTCTCCACCAATGATTTTGACATATACCAAAAGGGGTCATCACAGATTTCGAGCGATTTTATCGAAAGACTATTTTCAATTATATTTTGAAGCCTACAGTTTACGACTTCGAATTTAGACTATTTTTCACTAATGATAAAGTCTATTAATCGTCGATTTTTGTGAATTTTTATAGAGGGCATTTTTTGAATTTTTATTTTTTTGAAATATAATTTTCTTTGGATTTTCAAGACTTCATATCATATATTCAGTTTGAGGCTAATCTTCACCGATGATTAAGCTTATTAAGCACCGATTCAGATGAATTTTTTCCGGTGTCAATTTTGACAGATTTCAAATGGGCACCATCATAAATTTCAGGCGCTCTTTCGATAGGTAATTTTCCTGAGATTTTGAAGGCTACAGATCACGGATTCGGCATGACTCATGAGGCTATTCTCCACCAATGATTAAGTCTATTAAGCATCGGTTTGGTCGGAAATTTTTCGGAGGGCATTTTGGTAAACATTTTAGCGATTTTTGGAAATTTCATTTTCCTTAAATTTTGAAGACTACTACAGTTCACAGATTCAGCCTAAATGCTATTCTTCACTAATGATTATGTATATTAAGCACCGATTTGAACTAATTTTTTCCGATGTCATTTTTGTTTGCTCATTGATGTTAAAACTCATGATGAATAAGGGGAGCACCGGAGCAGCATCCCCGGGAATATTAGTTGAAATTCATGAGGAATTAGTTATTGTTTACTTCTGCCTTTCATGGTTGCATATACCCTGTTGCAATATATATATTTTTTTATTTCCTTTGGCCATGGCATTCACAGACAAGTGCAGATTTTGTGTTTGCAGGGATCTCCCGATGGATCTGAGCAATGCGTTCTTTATCCTTTCAAGTCGCTTGTGTTTTCTTTCCCTTTGGATCTCAGTATCACCTTTTTCTTCGTAATCCAGATATGTGTCAACAATGAATGCAATTTTCTCTGCACAACGCTAAATGGTACTACAATGCACTCATTTTTTTCTTATTCAAATTATTTTATGGTTGTGTCTACTTTTGTTTGGCTGTTAGTTTTTTTCTACTTCGGAACCGGATTTCATCTTGTCAAAGTTTGACATCCGAGATATATTCTCTTTTCTCCATGTTGGGATTGACTTAAACACTGTTAATTGCCACTGCGGCAGGTGCCAATAGATTGTTGTTATGTTGGTTCACATAATTCTGCCTTCTTGCAGCAGGTAGTAAAACCTTCTGCATGATGTTCTTTTGCTGATGGAGGTAGTTATTGATATCTGATCGATCATTGTGTTGACAGGCTTCATACATAACAGGAGGTGTATATGTTAAGCCCCAACATTTGGAAGGGTTGTATCAATACTTAGCGGTATGTCTCTTTTTCCTTTCTTATAGAGGTTATGTGTTACTTTGCAATAGTGACAAGCCATGCAGAATTACAGATGGACTTGGTTGAAACTACTGGCTCGATATCACATTCTCATTATCTTTGCAGACTGTATTTGCAGTCGACTTGCACTCGAGAACCTTCTTGCAACTGCCTAGGCCAGCTGGTGTAGATTTTCGTGCTTCGTGGGTGTGGTTTTATTTTGTTCTTTCCCTTTTCAGTACATTTCTTTTGCAGCATTGATTTGCTCTCTTCCTTTCTCTTCCCATACCAACCATCAAACTGAAGACCTATCTGTTTTGCATATCATACGCAACAAGCTGGCCCCAGAGATGGCAGTTTTTTGCTGCATTGATTTCTAATTACAAAGCAGCAACTAACCTATGAGTTACTGCAGATGTTTTTGCCATAAAACAACAATCGATATGGGCTATGTATGTTCTGTTTGCTTGTCGATATTCTGTGAGCATCATGACAAATGTTCAACTTGTGGGTAAGTAGTAAGTACTTTCCTCGGTCTTCTCCTACTGATCTATGTATGATATGAGACATTCTTTGCAGTTGAGAGATGTCTTGAACATCATTACTTTTGGTATATAGGCTCTACATCTTATCATCTACACTACTGGTGTGGTACAGGTCAGTCTTTGGTAAGGCTCAGTCAGATGCTGCATCAGATCGCAAGAGAAAGGTCTCAGAATCGTAGATCTTAAAAATCTTGTTAGAAGCTCAGTCTCAAAGTAAGCATGTCATTCTTTTCTTTGTTTGCAACTCAGTCATTTGACGTTTTGGTAATAAATTATCGATGTCTTTTTAACAGTTTGTCAATCTATCTGAAACCACACCTGGAGCAGAAATAAGAACGCCGTTCGAGCTTCCACGAAACTCAGTTCTCCTCTCCATTGCTGGAGCTGGAAGCAGCCATGTGAATGCTCAAAATGGAAGTAGCCCCAAGAACTAACATTCACAATTCCTCGTCCATTTTCTGCTGGCTACTTTTGATCTATTGTTGAAGCTCAATTTTGGGAGTCATAGTAAAGTTTGTAACTGGAAATATTCCTTTGATCTCTTGTCCAATCCAATCAAACAATGACTGGAATATCACAATGTTGTGATTGCCATCTCCCGCTAATATTTACAGAGAACATATCTACAATTGGGAAGAGCTTGAACAATCACATGGATATTTCGACATTGAGATATAAACCTCCCCACACAAATTTGTTATATTTACATCACACAATAAGTCTTTCCTCTGATTCACAGAGCCCTGAGGACAACCTTGCTGGTCTTGTGAACACCCACGGCAGCATATTTCCACACAGCCCGAGTCTTGTACAAACTGCATAATCCAATATAGCACAGCCATAAACTTTATTCAGCAAAAGCTCCCTGCTTATAATCTTAATCCATGAAACCAGATGTGCACTAAGTGCTAGGAAATTGCAAAACTTGGATCGCACCAGAGTATCACAAACAAAGATCTAAAGTAGAAAGTTCTTGCATTTATGAGGTTCATTTAGAAGTGATTGTGTGTTTGAGCAATGACGACTAAAGTCTAATGAGTTAAGAATGTCATTCTGAGAACATCAGCACAAGTACTCACCCTGCCAATGCAATTCCCCAGGTCGAAAGGGCGTAGAACAGCTGCCAGGCATGCCAAATATCCATTGCTCTCTCAAATTTGCTAACACCACCACCGCCGAGAGCTTGTGTAATGGCTGCAAATTCACAAGCTCGCAATATGAGTACTTGTGTATGGAAGTCTCCAAATATGATTTCCTCGTAAATAGAAAACCAGCAGGAAATTGATTTGGGGAATTCGGGGCTCTAAGATAATCCTCAATACTCATGAGTACTATTAGATTTACAGTCATAACAAATCCAACACTGGCAGGTTTTCAGAGAATACTTCCAAGGTAATGATGAAGTGTGTGATAACTCACCTGTCTGGAGAGCCTCAGGGGAATATTTCTGCATTTCCAAGCAGGGAAACCCTTGTAAGATACAGCATGTTATAAAAGCAACATCAAGATGCCTTGATAGCTTGATAGATACCTGAGATTTTGGGTTTGCAGTTATGCACTTAGCCATAAAGGTAGCAACTGCATCAATCACCTGATCCTCGTTGATGACCACGTAGCACTCATTATCTATTCCACTATGTTCTTCAGTATTGCCATGAATCATTTCTTCCGTGACCCATACCCACCTACTCGGTTCTTCTTGGTCAACCTTAATAAGAACTTCCACAGTGTGCAAGTCATCACCTGATCAAAGGAAACAGGAGAGCACCTCAATAAGTATCAAAAGACATAAAGTATCCTCACAAAGGAACTGAAAAAACACTAAGTGGCATATGTAGTGATACCTGTAGCCTCCTTGAATGGGAATCCAGGAGTAGCTCCATTTCTGGTTGCCTCTTGGAGGGATTTAAGCTGGCTCAAGAATTTTTCAGAATCCACAGTGGCAGCCAGGCGAGCATAGAGCTGTAGTTTAAGGAACCAAAAATCCGATGACATTACAGTTATGCTAATTAGCAATCAAAGAACATTAATTTCAAATCTCAAATCGCATACCCACAAGATCAAACACAGAGAAAGCTATAAGATTTCCACTAATTGTCCTAATTAGCGAAACAAGTTTGGCTTTTTCAACTCCTCGATGTGCCATATTCTCTAACAGTACAATGAATTCTACTACACAAGACTGCAATTTTCGAGCAAAACGGAACTCCAGCTCCAGCAGTAAAGAACATCAGAGAAAGAAGCTGAGAAAAGGGTACTCACATCAGGAGGGCAATCACTCATCAAAGGAGGCGATTCTGACAAATTCTGGAGGAGCTTGAGATTGTGCTCGAGCAAGCTCTTCAACCGCCGATTCTCGGATCTCAAGGCTACCAATTCTTCATCTACCGACATAGATTCCGCGGCTTTGGCCTGCGTACCGGTCTCTTCTTGATCGTGGGTGTGGAGATGGTGGTGGTGGCCGAACTCCATGGCCGTCCACGCCACGTCGGCCACCTCGATGACCGTCTTCGCCACCTCAATCGCAGCTTTGGAACCTACCATCGCCGTCGCTGGGTATCAGTACGTTCAATTTTCAGCCTAGTTTTGTTCCGAATCGGACGATTGATTAGAGTGGCGTGTGTCTCAACGAAAGCGAGTTTGACAGGGGAATAACATAGTTCTCGTGCAATTAAGTCTATTAAGGAGAATTGGAGAAGAGAATTTTTCCGATATCATATTTGGCAAATTTCAAATGGGTATTATCACAAATTTTCGGGAAATTTTTTTGAAATATTATTTTTTTAATTTTAAAAGTTACATGTCACGGATTCAGATTGATAATATTCTTCATTGATGATTAAGTCTATCAATCACTTCGATAGATTTTTTTAGACCATTGTTGGCATATTTCAAATGGGTATCATCAAAGATTCCGAACGATTTTTTTCGGAATACCTTTTTTATTAAAGGATACAGATCACGAATTCGGTCAGAGACTATTCTCCACACATAATTTTGACATATGCCAAAAGGGGTCATCACATATTTCGAGCGATTTTATCGAAAGACTATTTTCCTTATATTTTGAAGCCTACAGTTTACGGCTTCGACTTGAGGCTATTTTTCACTAATGATAAAGTCTATTATTTGTCAATTTTGGTGAATTTTTATAGAGGGTATTTGAAATTTTATTTTTTCGAAATGTCATTTGCTTTGAATTTTCAAGACTACATAGCATATATCCGGTCTGAGGCTAATCTTCACCGATGATTAAGCTTATTAAGCACCGATTTGGACGAATTTTTTCCGGGATCATTTTAGGCAGATTCCAAATGGGTACCATCATAGATTTCATGCGCTTTTTTCGAAAGGCCATTATCCTATGATTTTGAAGGCTACAGATCACGGATTTAGCGTGAGGCTATTCTCCACTGATGATTAAGTCTATTAAGCATCGGTTTAGGTGGATACTTTTCGGAGGGCATTTTGGTAAATTTTTTAGCGATTTTTGGAAATTTAATTTTTCTTAGATTTTGAAGGCTACAGTTCACAAATTCACCCTGAAAGCTATTCTTCATTGATGATTAAGTATATTAAGCACCGATTTGTATTGATTTTTTCCGAGGCCATTTTTGGCAAATTCCCAAACCAAAGGAGTATCGTCACAAATTTCAGGTGAATTTTTTGAAATGTCATTTTTCTTGGAATTTGAAGGCTACAAATCACGGATTCGGCTTGAGGCTATTCTCCACCGATGATTAAGTCTATTAAGCACACATAATTATTTCGGTGGGCATTTTCATTACTTTTTGGGCGATTTTTGGAAAGACCATTTTTTTGGATTTTGAAAAATACGAATCACAGATTCAGTCTGAGGCTATTCTACACTGATGATTAAGTCTATTAAGCACCGATTTGGGCGGATTTTTTCCTCAGTCATTTTTGGCAGATTCCAAAGGAAAATGGCCACCCGAAAATAAATTTGCAAAAATAAAGGCTTAATGGACTTAATCATAGGTAGAGAATGGGATCAATAGGCTTCATTATCGGCAGAGAATAGCCTCGGGCAGAATTCACGATCTCTATAGCCTCAAAAATTGAAAGAAAATGGCATTTCGGAAAAATCGCCCGAAATCTATGATGGTACCCCTTCGGGCTCATTTTTACAATTTTTACCCCCGGTTTGCTTAGTCGTTTGAAGCATTTTTACTCCGACAGGTTTGATTTTACGCTGGGTTGTGCCTTGTCTTGGTGTTTTTCAGACTTTTGCAGGTGGAACCAACCCCACAGTCGAAAGTTGGACAAAAGGGCGAAAAATAAAGTAAACCGTGAAAATAGCAGCAGATCACGGTTAGGGATGGCAACAAAACCCGAACCCACGGGTACCCATCCGACCCAACCCGGTCAACGCGGGTAAAACCCGTGTTGACGGGTTTTAGGCCGGGTTCGGGTTTAAACCCGCTACACTATTCACCGGGTTGAGTTGGGTTTGGGTTTAGGTAAAGCCGCCCCATGGGTACCCGCCCACACATATAATTACTTTTCCGGTATATTTAATATTCTAAATAATATATCTTCTTTAAACAACTAATATTATTTATTTTTGTGGAGACATGTATAATTTGTTCTTTCTAATTATTTAGAATGAAGTTGATATTATGGAGTGGAGAGTGAAGAAACTTATTTGACGAGGAAGAAGATTTCAATTAATCTTGTTGTTTATAGATGTTTATCTTTAATTTTGAACAATTTGTATTGATCATTTGCGGTTTGCTTGTATGTTCTAGATTGGTATTTTTTGTATGAATAATTTGTATGAGAAAATTGATGTTAAACTTTTATTTTGAAAGAAATTTGTTATTATAAATTTTTTACCACAAAAACCCACGGGTACCCATGAGCCCGCGGATACCCAGCGGGTTGGGTTGGGTTTGAGTTTTTCAAACCCAACGGGTTTTACCCCCGGTTTTTTTGGCGAATAAACCCATGGGTTTGGGTTTGACAAAACCCGCCCCAACCCGACCCATTGCCATCCCTAATCACGGTTTGGGCTGTGAGTTCACGGTCACTAAGACTGTGAACTGGAGGCGATTCCTGCGAAGAGCCAGGCATCCAGAGCACAAATGGTTTTCACTGGACACGAGTCAGTTCACGGTCGTAACCGTGAACTGAGGCCATTGCTCGTGAACAGCGATTAGTCATGCGGTGCGTTTCGACTTTGGTTCACGGTCTGGGCTTGCAGTTCACGGCCGTGAACTGAGCCCGATCTGGGTATATAAAGGAGATTGAGCCAAATGAGAAAGGGGGGGGGGAGATCTAGTGTGAGAAACTTCTTCTTCAAATTCTAGAGTGAGAAAGTGACGAACCAAGGAAGAGGAGAAGCTAGGGTTTCATCTTCAAGCAAGGAATTGGGAATTCCTCTCCCAAATGAGGATCTCTTCAACACAAGGAGTAAGGCTAGCATCTCTTTGATGGTTTTCCTTCTTCTCTCTTGTGTTTTCCCTTCTCCTAGAATGAGTAGTCCCTTCTTTCACTTGGGTGTTTGTAAACCCTAGCTACAATTATGTGAATGCTTGTATGGATTGAATGATTTGTGTGTGGTTGTGTTTAATGTGAATGTGGATGTATTATTCATGAATGATTGTGTTGTGTGAAAGCCTATCAATCTAATTGTCATTCTAACCTAGGTAGAGAGAAAACCCCCTTCCTTTCTTTGAAAGAGGCTTGAATGCTGGGTTTTCTTAGGAAATTCATTGTCTCCTAGTTAGGTTAATGTAGGGCAAACCTCTTATTTCGTATTAGCACATAAGGTTTGGTTGTGGGTGGCTGTCTGAGCTCCGATTCGAGGGTAAAGTCTAGCCAATCCTTAGTCGATAGGTCGAGAGAGTGACGTTGGTGGCTTGGATCGTATCCCCTTCCCTCGACCTAGAGACTAAGAGAGTGGCGCTTGGCTACTTGTTACACTTCCCTACGGTTTACAACCCCCTCACCGCATGACCATTAGATCCAACAAGTCGTAATTTCTAGCTAGGGGGAGAAACATCCGAGTAAAGTCTTCTCAATTAGTGTCAAATCCATTTACTTTTGCAAACGTTTTAGCTTTAGATTGTTGTTTTCACCAAAAATCAACCGCTAGATAATGTTACAAGCAATCGAAGTAGGGGTACATGAACCGGTCTGGATCGATATTTAAACATAATTGCCCTGTACTGCACCTAGTTAAGGTTTATACTTGGGCCTTAATTGGTAGTTTTAAAGTGGTGCATTCGGGTTGAGTCAAGTTTTTGGCGTCGTTGCCAGGGATCAAAAACGGTCATTATTTTGAAAAGATTGTTTGGTGTTAATCTAGCATTTACTTTTCGCTTTGTGTGTGAATCTTGCTTGTGCTAGACGTGTTGTGGTTCTTTTGAGTGTGTGCAGGGAGGTGTATGACCCGGAGTAATCTGACACCTTTGGCGCCACTAGACGAGGATCTCAACCGCACTCTCCGACACTTGGATCGTGAGAGGGAACTAGCGGAGGCAAGAAGGGGGATAAAAGAGGAAGTTATAGTTGAGGAAGGGGTTGATTTCGAAGAGGAAAGAAGTGAAGCCGAGATGGCGGCTAATCGACCCTCTCAAGGAGGAGCGGGCACGGAGGAGAAACCGAGTACCATGCTCTATTACATGGCTCTAAGGTCGGCGGATATTCAACCCACAATTCGATATCCACCCGAGGCCGCCAACAATTTTGAGATCAAGTCCGCCCTTGTCACCATGATTCAGAATAATGCCTTATTCCATGGGCTTAGCAATGAGTCTCCAAGGGAGCATGATCAGAAGTTCATTAAACTTAGGGGTGGGTAACGGGAAACGAGTATTTGGGTATACTCGACCATTTTTTGAGGGTTACGGGTACCCAAATACCCGTAATTTTTTTTATGGGATGGGACTTGGGATCAACAATCACCACTTTGGGTACCTGCGGGTTACTGTTTGGGTATTACGGGTACCTGTTATACCCATTAGTCAAAAGGGTTTGGTAGCTTACTTGTGTGTAGAGTTTGGCAAAGATTTTATAAGATGATCAATTTAATGAAGAAGCCATCCTTAGTGTACTAGGAAGTGCTGCCACTTTGTTGGTTCACGATGATGAGGTTGGTGATTGTGGAGCAAGGGTCGTTGTATTAGCAAGTTGACATGTAAGCCTTAACCGGACCCTCTCGCCTCTCCACCGACACCCTCTCCTTTTTACACACTAATTATCTCTTCACTACCCTAAATAACTACCCAAAAACATATAAAAGCAAGCAACAATGGTCAACCAACTGTTGTTGCTTGCTAACGTGGTGGAGCTCATAAGGTGGAAGCGGTTAATCAACTGCTGTTGTCGTTCATCACCAAGATTAGTACGAATGACAGAGCAGACATCGAGAATATAATTCAATGTGAAAGAGCAAGTCTAAGCAACAAAAGATGTATTTATTGACGGGTATTTACGGGTAGCATGGGTACCCGTTATCCGTCCCGTACGGATAATGGGTACCCGTTAACCCATACGGGTTTGGGACATGAGATGAAGATTGTTCTTCGAATGGGATTGGGTACCCCTTTCAAACGGGACGGGATACCTGTCCCGTCCCGTCCCGTTGCCCACACTTAATTGAACTTGCGGGGAGTTTGAAGATCAATGGTGTCCCCGAGGATGCTTTGAAGTTGAGGCTATTCCCCTACTCTCTTGCGGGGAATACCTCTCGGTGGCTCAACAATAGGCCGACTCTCTCGATCACTTCGTGGGATGATATGCTCAACAAGTTTATGAGTCATTATTGCCCACCTTCAAAGATGGCGGGGTGGCGCAAGAAGATCACCCATTTTGAGCAAGAGGAAGATGAGACACTGAGGGATGCGTGGTAAAGGTACTCCGATTACTTCCTCCAATGCCCACATCATGGATTCGAGGAGAAATTCCGGATTGAGACCTTCTATGGTGGTCTCCACACCAAGACGACAAGATCCTCATTGACTCCTTATGTAAAGAGATGGAAAGTAAAGGGTATGATTGGGTTGCTTGAAGAAATGGAAAGTAAAGGGTATGATTGGGGCTTGACAAGAAGTGAAAAGAGAAGCACCGCAAGGGGAGTGCAAAGTGTAGGAGTGAGTCCCCCGCTTGAAGCCAAGATTGATCGTTTGATTGAGGCACTCTTAGAGGACAATAAGCATGGGAAGAGGCCGGTGATGGCGTGTGATTGGTGTTCAAGTACCAACCACGAGATTTTGGATTATTAAATGATGAAGGAATCAAGCACACCCGAGGAGCATGTGAGTTTCATTGCCAATGCTAGGGGGGAACAACCCCTATAGCAACACTTACAACCCGGGGTGTTGAAACCATCCGAATTTCTCGGTCTTCTCCGACCAATCCAAGACCCCCCGGTTTCCAAGGACAAACGGAAAATTATCAACCAAGGCCTACCTTCATTCAGCAAAGCCGCAATTCCATGGCTCTAACTTCCAACAACCGTTTCAAGCTCAAGGAGGGGTACATGAACCGACATGGGTCGATATTTAAACATACTTGCCCTGTACTGCACCCAGTTAAGGTTTATACTTGGGCCTTAATTGGGAGTTTTAAAGTGGTACATTCAGGTTGAGTCAGGAGCCTTCCAATCCAAGGAAAATGGCATTTCGAAAAAAATCACCCAAAAATGTACGAAAATGTCATCCGAAAATATATTCGCCCAAATCGGTTCTTAAGGGACTTAATAATCGATGGAGAATAGGATCAATAGACCTCATTATCTGTGGAGAATAGCCTCGGGCTGAATCCGTGATCAGTAGCCTCCAAAATAGAAACAAAATCGTTTTTCGAAAAAAATCGCCTGAAATCAGTGATGGTGTACCCCCTTTGGAATCTACAAAATAGGACCCGGAAGTAATTCGTCCAAATTGGTGCTTAATGGACTTAATCATCGTTAAGAATAGATTTATGGTGAAGCCGTGATCTGTAGCCTTCAAAATAGAAGGAAAATGGTCTTCAAAAAAGAAATCGGCCAAAAAATTACTAAAATGCCATCCGAAAGTAAATTTGCCAAAATAGGTGATTAATGGACTTAATCATCGGTGCAGAATCGGATCAATAGACTTTATTATCGGTGGAGAATAGCCTCAGAATAAATCTGCGATTTGTAGCATCCAAAATTGAAAGAAAATGGCATTTCGGGAAAATCGCTTGAAATCTATGATGCTACCCCTTTGGAATATGTCAAAAATGGACCCGGAAGAAATTTGCCCAAACTGGTGCTTTATGGACTCAATCACCGTTGAAGAATAGTCTCAGGCCAAATCAGTGATCTGTAGCCTTCAAAATCCAAGAAAAATGGCATTTTAAAAAAACAACAAAAATTTTATGAAAATATCATCCGAAAATTTATTCCCCTAAATATGTGCTTAATGGACTTAATCGTCGGTGGAGAATAGGATCAACAAACTTCATCATCGGCGGAGAATAGACTCGGGCCAAATCCATGATCTGTAGCTTTCAAAATTGAAATAAATTGCATTTCGGAAAAATCGCTCGAAACTGTGATGGTACCCCTTTCGAATCCGCCAAAAATAGACCCAAAAGAAATTCCTAGAAATTTGTGCTTAATGGACTTAATTAGTTGTGAAGAATAGTCTGAGGCCGATTCTCTGATTTGTAGTCTTCAAAATATAAAAACATAGCCTAATGAAAAACATCACCCAAAAAGTTACAAAAATGTCATCTGAAAATAAATCCGCGCAAATTGGTACTTGATGGACTTAATCATCGGTGGAGAATAGGATCAATAGACTTCATCATCGGCGGAGAATAGTCTCGGGCAAAATCCGTGATCTTTAGCCTTCAAAATGGAAGGAAAACGAAATTACAAAAAAAAAAATCGTTTCGAAATCAATATGGTACCCCTTTGCAATCTACCCAAAAATGGACCCAGATGTATTCCACCCAAATTGTTGCTTAATGGTTTTTTCATCATTGAGGAATTGCCTCAGGCCGAATTCATTATCTATAGCCTTCAAAATACAAGTAAAATGGCCTTTCAACAAAACCACGCAAAAAGTTATGAAAATGTCATCCGATTATATATTCGTCCAAATCTGTACTTGATGGACTTGATAATTGGTGGAGAATAAGATCAATATACTTCATTATCGGTGGAGAATAGCCTCGGGTTGAATCCGTGATCCGTAGCATCCAAAATTGAAAGAAAATAACATTTAAAAAAAATTGCGATAAATCTATGATGGTGTTCCCCTTTGGAATCAGCCAAAACTGGACCCGAAAGAAATGCGCACACTTTGGTGCTTAATTGACTTAATCATCTTTGAAGAATAACCTCAAGCCGAATTCGTGATCTTTAGCCTACCAAATCGAAGAAAAATGGCCTTTCAAAAAAAATCGGCCAAAAAAATATGAAAATGTCATCTGAAAGTAAATTCGATCAAATCGGTGCATAATGAATTTAATCATCGGTAGATAATCAAATCAATACACTTCATAATCGGTGGAGAAAAGCCTCCACCTAAATTCGCGATTTGTAGAATCCAAAATCGAAAGAAAAATAGAATTTTGGATAAATCACCCAAAATTTGTTATGGTACCACTTTGGAATCCGCAAAAAATGGAGACCCTGAAGAAATTCATCCAAATCAGTGCTTAATGGGCTTAGTCGTCTTTGAAGAATAGTCTCAGTCCCAATCCATGATCTGTAGCCTTCAAAATCCAAGGAAAATGGTCTTTCGAAAAAAATTCCCCTAAAATTTATGAAAATGTCATCCGAAACTAAATTCGCACAAATTGGTGCTTAATGGACATAATCGTCGATGGAGAATATGATTAATATACTTCATTATCTGAGGAGAAAAGCCTCGGGCTGAATCCGTGATCTGTAGCCTCCAAAATCGAAAGAAAATGTCATTTCGGAAAAAACGTCTGAAATTTGTGATGGTGTTCCTTTAGAATCTGCCAAAAATGGACACGAAAGAAACTCACCTAAATCGGTGTTTAATGGATTTAATCATCGTTGAAGAATAGCCTCAAACCGAATACGTAATCTGTAGCCTTCAAAATCCAAGAAAAATGGCATTTCGAAAAAAATCGGCAAAAAATTATGAAAATGTCATCCAAATATAAGTTTGTCAAATTGGTGCTTAATGGACTTTATCATATGTGGAAAATCAATAGACTTCATTATAGGTGGAGAATAACCTCAGGCTGAATTTGTGATCTCTAATATCCAAAATTGAAAGCAAATGTCATTGAGGAAAAATCGCCCAAAACTGTGATGGTACCCCTTTTAAATCTGCCAAAAAATGGAAATTCGCACTAATTGGTTCTTAATAAACTTAATTATCGTAGAAGAATAGCCTCATGCCAAATTCGTGATCTGTAGCCTTCAAAATCCAAGAAAAATAGACGTTCAAAAAAATCAGCCAAAAGATTATAAAAATGGCATCCGTAAATAAATTCACCCAAATCGGTGCTTAATAGACTTAATCATCAGAGGAAAATCGGATCAATAGACTTCATTTTCAGTGGAGGATAGCCTCGGGCTAAATCTGCGATCTATAGCATCCAAAATCGAAAGAAAATGGCATTTCGGAAAAATTCCATGAAATTTGTGATTGTACCCTTCTGAAATATGTCAAAAATGGACCTGTAAAAAATTCGCCCAAGTCGGTGCTTAATTGACTTAATCATTGTCGAAGAATAGTCTTAGGGCGAATTCGTTATCTGTAATCTTCAAAATCCTAGAAAAAGGTCTATCGAAAAAAATAGCCCAAAAAATTACAAAAATGTCATCCGAAAATAATTTTGCACAAATCGGTGATTAAATTACATAATCATCGGTGGAGAATAGACTCGGGCCAAATCCATGAATTGTAGCTTTCAAAATCGAAAGAAAATTTCATTTCAGAAAAATCGCCAAAAATCTTTGATGGTACCCCTTTCAAATCCGCCAAAAATGAATCCGAAAGTAATCCCCAAAATCTGGGCTTAATTGACTTAATCATCAGTGAAGAATAGGCTCAGGCCGAATTCCTGATCTGTAGCTTCCGAAAAAATAGCCAAAAAAATTATGAAAATGTCATTCAAAAATATATTCGCCAACTCTGTGCTTTATGGACTTAATCATCGGTGGAGAATAGGATCAATAGAGTTCATTATCATTGGAGAATAGCCTCGTGCTGAATCTGTGATCTGTAACCTCCAAAATCGAAAGAAAATGACATTTCACGAAAATCGCCTCCTTGTAATCTGCCAAAAAATGTACCTGGAAGAAATTTGCCCAAATCGGTGCTTAATGGACTTAATCATCGTTGAAGAATAGCCTCAGGGCGAATACGTGATCTGTAGCCTTCAAAATCCAAAGAAAATGGTCTTTCAAAAAAATCGGCCAAAAATTAGAAAAATGTCATCCGTAAATAAATTTGCCCAAATCGGTGCTTAATGGACTTAATGATCTGTGGAGAATCGGATCAATAAAATTCATTCTCGGTGGAGAATAACCTCGGGCTGAATTCTCGTTCTGTAGCATCCAAAATCGAAAGAAAATGACATTTCGAAAAATTGCCCGAAATTTATGATGGTACCCCTTTAGAATCTGCCAAAAATAGACCCGGAAGAAATTCTCCTAAATTAGTTCTTAATGGACTTAAGCATTGTTGAAAAATAGTTTCATCCCGAATCCGTGATTTATAGCTTTCAAAATCCTATGAAATGGCCTTTCAAATAAAATCGCCGAAAAAAATTATAGAAATGTCATCAGAAAATAAATTCGCCCAAATCAGTGCTTAATGAACTTAATCAACGTTGGATAATCGGATCAATAGACTTCATTATCGGTGGAAAATAGCCTCAGGCTGAATCCGTTATATGTAGCCTCCAAAATTGAAAGAAAATTGAATTTCGAAAAAATAGCACGAAATCTGTGATGGTACCCTTTGGAATCTGCAAACAATGGACCCGGAAGAAATTCTCCCAAATCGATGCTTAATGGACATAATAATCGTTGAAGAATAGCCTTAGCCCGAATTCATGATTTGTAGCCTTCAAAATCTTAGAAAAATGGTCTTTCAAATACGGGAATGTCATCTGAAAATAAATTCACCAAAATCAGTGCTTGATGAACTTGATCATCGGTGGAGAATCGTATTAATAGAATTCATTATCGGTTGAGAATAGCGATCAATCCATGATATGTAGCATCCAAAATCGAAAGAAAATTGCATTTCGGAAAATTTGCCCAAAATCTGTGATAGTACCCCATTGGAATATGGAAAAAATGGCTCAAGAAGAAATGTTTCCAAATCGGCGCTTAATGGACTTAATCATCGTTGAAGAATAGCCTCAGGCCGAATTTGTGATTTGTAGCCTTCAAATTCTAATGAAATGACCTTTCAAAAAAAAAAAAAAAACGAAAAATGTCATCCAAAATTAAATTTGCCCAAGTCGATGTTTAATGAACTTAATCATCGGTGGAGAATTGGATCAATAGACTTCATTATCGGTAGAGAATAGACTTGGGCTGAATCCATGATCTATAACCTCCAAAATCGAAAGAAAATGAAATTTCGGAAAAATCGTCTGAAATCTATGATGGTACCCCTTTGGAATCCACAAAAAATGGACCCGGAAGAAATTCTCCCAAATCGGTGTTTAATGAACTTAATCAACATTGAAGAATAGCCTGATGTCGAATATGTGATTTATATCCTTCAAAATACTAGGAAAATGGGCTTGAAAAAAATCGCCCAAAAAATTACGAAAATGTCATCCGTAAATAAATACTCTCAAATTGTTGCTTAATGGACTTAATCAATGTTGGAGAATCGGATCAATAGACTTCATTATCAGTGGAGAATAGTCTCGGGCTTAATTGGTGATATGTAGCCTCCAAAATCGAAAGAAAATGACATTTCGATAAAATCGACCAAAATTTGTGATGGTACCCCTTTAGAATCTGTCAAAAATGGACCCAGAAGAAATTCTTCCAAATTAATTCTTAATGGACTTAATCATCGTTAAAGAATAACCTCAGGCCGAATATGTGATTTGTGTCCTTCAAAATCCTAGGAAATTTGTCTTTCAAAAAAATCGGCCAAAAACATACAAAAATGTTATCCAAAAATAAATTCACACAAATTGGTGTTTAATGAAATTAATCATCGATGGAGAATTAGATCAATAGACTTCATTATTGGTGGAGATTACCCTCGGGCAGAATTCACGATCTATATAAGTCCCAAAATCGAAAGAAAATTTCATATCGGATAAATAGACCAAAATATGTGATGGTAACTCTTTGGAATCTGCCAAAAATGGACCCGTAAGAAATTTTTCAAAATCAGTGCTTATGGACTATATCATCGTTGAAAAATAGCCTCAGGGAGAATCCGTGATTTGTTCAAAATCTAAGAAAAATGGCATTTAAAAAATCGGCCAAAAATTTAAGAAAAATGTCATCCGAAAATAAATTCGCGCAAATTGATGCTTAATAGACTTAATCATTGGTGGATAATTGGATCAATTTAATTTATTATCGGTAGAGAATAGCCTCGAGTTGAACCGTGATCTGTAGCATTCAAAATTGAAAGAAAATGGTATTTCGAAAAAATAACCCGTAATTTGTGATGGTACCCCTTTGTAATAACATCCGTGAACAGTAGCCTTCAAAATCCAAGGTAAATGTACTTTCGGAAAAGACCGCAAATTTACGAAAATATATTCGCACAAATCTGTGTTTCATGGTACTAATCATAGGTGGAGAATAGGATCACTAGGCTTCATTATCGGTGGTGAATAATCTCGGGCTAAATCCCTGATCAAATAGAAAGAAAATGGAATTTCAGAAAAATTGCTCGAAATCTATGATGGTACCCTTTGGAATCTACCACAAATGGACCTGGAAGAAATTCATCCAAATTGGTGTTGAATGGACTTAATCATTATTGAAGAATACCTCTTAGGTCGAATCTGTGATCTATAGCCTTCTAAATCCAAAGAAAATGGTCTTTTGAAAAAATATGCTAATTTTTTTTCTCGAAAATGTCATCCGAAAATATATTCCCCCAAATCTGTGCTTAAAGGACTGAATAATCAGTGGAGAATAGCCTCTGGCTGAATCAATGATATGCAGCATCCAAAATCGAAAGAAAAAAACATTTTGTGAAAAATGCACGAAATCTGTGATGATATCCCTTTGGAATCCGCCGAAAATGTACCTGGAATAAATTCGCCTAAATCGTTGTTTAATGGACTTAATCATCGTAGAAGAATAGCCTCATGTCGAATCCGTGATCTGTAGCCTTCAAAATCCAAGTAAAATGTTCGTTCAAAAAACATCGATGGAGAATCGGATCAATAGACTTGATTATCGGTGGAGAATAGCCTCGGGTTGAATTCGCGATCTATAAGACCCAAAATCGAAAGGAAATTGCAGTTCGAACAAATCGCCTGAATCTGTGATGGTACCCCATTTGGAATTTGCCAAAAATGGACATGGAAGAAATTCTCCCAAATTGGTGCTTGATAACGATGTAATTGCACATGTTTGCGCCCCTAGTTCTTATCCGTTTGAGGGGTATAGTCGTGTGTTTTGGCCTATTTTACGCCGGGTTGTGCTATTTTGTCATATTTCAGGTCCCAGACGTCAAAGGGAAGGCTAACCACGAGTTTCGAGGCATTCGGAGGTCATTTCGTCAAGCTGGGGCCAAAACACGGGCACACCTAAGGCATTACACGGCCGTGTTCCTGTGGCCGTGCTTTTTATGCCGAGAGCTGAGCTGATTACACGGGCAGGGCCGAGACAAAGCACGGCCGTGTTCAATCATTACACGGCCGTACCCAACGCGAAGCACTGCCGTGTTTCCTCCCAACTGCTGGCCGTGTAATTAACCTTGGCCGAGACACGGGCAGGCTCAGGCAAAGCACGGCCGTGCCCTCGACCGTGCTTTGGCCACTGATGCTTTTAAGCAGATTTTCAGCCACAAGTCAAGGGGATTCGAGTTTTAGAGAGAGAGATCAGTTCCTAGAGAGAGAAAGCGACGAACAAGAGTCTCCAAGTGCCCTAGATTGATCTTCAACACCATTGGAGGCCAGCTTGAGTTTGGAGAAGTGCCGATCAACATCCAGAAGCAGGAAGCCATCCTTCACAGTATGAATTCCGCGTCTGATTCTGCTTTTGCTTTCTTCTCCATGGAGTAGTTCTCCCATTCATCTGGGTATGGAGAACCCTAGATTTGTATGTTAGGCTTTGCTTGTATGAACCCAAGTACTGATTCTATGATTGATTATATTCGATTGAGGTTTTAATGATTGAATGACTTGAATCCTGATCAAATTCCTGTTGTTTCTGCTTTAACCTAGAATGAGAATATCTGCCTAGGTTGATAGAGCATCTTTGATTGAAAATAGGGAGTTGGTGACTTTAGTCGAGGAGCCAACTCACTATTCTGTACCGGATTTACTCCGGTAGTGGAGGTTTTGTTCTTAGGGCCTCAATCTGTCTACTCCGGTGGAGGTTAGTCGCCCGCTAGAGATTTAGATTGAGAGGGTCTGAAGACCTTTAGTCGAGACTTCAGGCTGTTTAAGAACCTTCCGCAGTATAACTTTCATAGAAACTGAACTTGGTAATTACAATCCGGCTTAACTGCAGTCTAGGGGGAACCATATCCAGGTGACCTCTCTTAACCTGAATACAACCGTTTACTTGCTTTGTTAGTTTGTTAGTTTAGACTTGCATTCCAGTTTCATTGCTAGATAACAAGAATTCACTGAGTAGTCATCAGATCTAGGACCCGGGTTGACATTTAAACCCAAACCCGCTATACTACGTTTTAGGAAGTGGTTTCACTTGGCCAATTCCTAGGGTGACAGTAGAGTCGAGTCAAGTTTTTGGCGCAGTTGCCGGGACGGCTAGGTTGTTGAAGAAAAGTGATTTCTGTTAATTTAGCCTTTTTCTGTTTGCTTTGTCCCACTTGTGCCTTCACGGGTTTGCTTGCTTGAGAGTGTGCAGGTAGTGCATGACCCGTAGCCAGTCGGGAGGTTTACTGCCGTTGAATCCAGAGATTGACTGCACCTGTCGCCAGCTCAGGAGACAACAGCGAGCTAGACTGGCTACGGAAGAGCGCATAGACGGCCACGTGAGCAGTGATTCTGAAGAAGAGCACGGGATGGAAGGAGAGTACAATCAACACCAGGGGAATCCTCAGCAGGCTCCCCCGGTGAATCAGCACCTGGGGAACAACCCCATACCCCAGGATCATGGAGTTCATCATCCATCGCAGCCGGGACCCACCTTGGAGTACTACTACACTCCTCGGATTGCTAACATCCGCCCGGTCATCCTCTACCCGCCGATCCCAGCAAACAACTTCGAGATCAAGCCATGCTGGATTCAGCTCATCACATCCTCGATCCAGTTTCATGGCTTGAAGGATGAGGAGGCCAGGGTACATCTGTCCCGTTTTCTGCAGCTGGCAAACGGGTTCAAGCTGAACGGTGTTCCCGATGATGCGATCCGCCTTCATCTCTTCCCACATTCTCTGGCGGGGAATGCTAAGAGGTGGTTGGAGACCCAGCCCCCATTGTCCATCACCTCTTGGGACGATCTGGCGGACAAGTTCGTGCACAGGTATTATCCGGCATCGAAGACTACAGAGATCCAGCGGGAGATCACTCACTTCCGCCAAGAGCCAGATGAGTCACTTCGTGATGCGTGGGAGCGGTACATGGGCTATTTCTGGCAGTGCCCCCATCATGGCTTCAGCGATGCATTCACAGTGGGGAACTTCTACAGTGCCCTCTCTCCAGATAGCCAGAGGGTGATTGAGTCTCTATGCCCAGGAGGGGATATTCTCACTAAGACTCCACCCGAGCTGAACCAGATGATTAATACATTGGCTACCAGAGATCATTCCTGGGGGCAGAGCAGCAGAGGCAGACATTCCCGGGACCGTGGTGTGCACGCCATGGAGTCCAGATCCGGACTCGAGCAGCAGGTAGCTGAGCTGGTGCAGACATTGAAGCAGCCCAACAGTCTTATTCCGGGCAGAGGTTTGGCTACACCTCCAGTTTCTCAGTGTCAGTGGTGTGAGAGCTCCAATCACCTAGTGGAGGACTGCCAGGCTACGAGGGAGTCTACCACACCCCAGGAGCAGTTGGCCTTTATCGCCAATGCGCGGCGCCTCCATCCATACAGTAACACATATAATGAGGGGTTGCGCCAGCATCCCAACTTCGCCTGGAGCAGCAACACCACTAAACCACCTGGTTTCCCAGCACCAGCAGGTGGTTTTCAGCAGAGGCAGCCCTTCCAGGCTCGCCAGGGGCCAGACCCACAGCAGCAGCCCTACCAGCCTAGGCAGGGGCAGCCATTCCAGCAGCCCCAGCGCCATTTTGCCGAGCCAGTAGCAGCTCCAGCCCCAGATGACAGGATGACGAAGCTGGAAAACATTCTAGCTTCATTCATGACGAGCACTCAGGCGACTATCACGAGGTTGGACCAGAGTGTAGCCTCACTGGAGGCAGGTCAGAGGAACCAGGGTGCCATTTTGCAGGATCTGCAGACCCAGGTGGGCATCTTGGCCCGCCAAAGCACCACCAGGGCACCGGGGACTCTGCCTGCCACCACTGTCCCGAATCCTCGGGATCCTCACCAGCTCCAGCAGCTTGATGCCATTTTTACCAGGAGCGGTAGGGCCATATCTGCTGATCCTGTTCCGGCCAGACAGGAGGAACCACTACCTGCTTCAGCACTTCCAGTAGACGATGCAGCAGTGCGGGTGGAGAAGGAAGCCCCTGCTCCCAAGCCACAACCAGTGGTTAAGGAGCATGTGCCCCAACTTCCCTTCCCCACTCGCCTACACAAGGACAAGCTGGAGACTGAGTTTGCCAAGTTCATGGCAATATTGAAGCAGCTCAACATCAGCATACCGTTCGTGGAGGCACTGTCGAAGATGCCCAAGTATGCCAAGTTCATGAAAGATCTCTGCACCAACAAGAAGAAACTTGGGGATCTCTCGACAGTGCTGCTGAGCGAGGAGTGTTCTGCTATCCTGCAGAACAAGCTGCCCGAGAAGCGCAAGGATCCAGGGAGTTTTACTATCCCTCTTACTATTGGCAGCATGCATGTAGGAAAGTCCTTGGCGGACCTAGGCGCTAGCATAAACGTCATGCCATATAAGTTGTATAAAAAGCTAGACCTAGGTGAACTTAGCCCTACTAGGATGAGCATTCAGTTAGCTGATCGTTCTATCGTGCATCCTAGGGGAATCATAGAGGATCTGCTTGTTAGTGTTGGTGCATTCACATATCCTGTTGATTTTATTATTCTTGATATACATGAGGATGTGGATGTACCTTTGATTCTGGGTAGACCATTTCTTGCCACCGCCAAGGCACTTATTGATGTGCATGATGGTAAGTTGATCTTGCGTGCTGGGGATGAACAGGATACTTTTTTTGTGACTGAATTTGATCACTGTGCTATGATTGATGTCACGCCTGTGCATGCCATTTCTGATCAGGTACACGAGTCTGTCGTGTACCCTTCTGCACCTCCTATTTTGCAGGACCCTCCTATCATTCCTTCGCCGCCACTCCATCCAGCCACGCCTCCGAACAAAAAGCTCAAGGAGGAGTGGCGGCCGAAGCAGCAGGTTGCTAAGCCTGCACGGAAGAAGAGTGGAGACCACTATGAGCTAGTCCCACCTCCTGCACCACGACCACCCTGGCCGTCCGGGTACTCACTCGCCTGCATCTTGCCAGATGGGCAGGTCGAGCTGACTGATGATAGTGGTCGCATCCGTCGGGTGCATGGCCACAACCTGAAGCTGTACCTCAAGAGCGACGTGGATCCGCTCTTGGAGGCACCTGTTCCTGCACCGCCCTGAGTATCCACCATGGGCGTCCAGCTAAACGACGGTAAAGAAGCGCTTGTGGGGAGGCAACCCCACCACGGTTTGATTTTCTTTCTTGTGTTTTGAGTCGGATTGTAACCCGGTTTGGGTTTGGTTTGTTTTTCTTTTGGTTTGGATGATGTTTTATTGGGCTGACCATTAGACCTAACATACTGTGTTGAGCTCTTTGGTTTCCTCTCGCTGTGCGTGTCTTGACTGGTCCCCTCTCCAGTCCGCTTCACTCGACTGGCCTGCTTCCAGTCTCCTGCAGTCCATGCATACCGGTAACATCGTTCCCCTTATCCTTCCCTCTTCTCCATTGAGGGCAATGTCGATCTTAAGTGTGGGGGGGGGGGGTGTTTATCTTTTGACTGCATTAGATCTGTTTGTGTGCTTGGAGCCTAGTCCACTGTCCAAATTTTTAAATTTGAGGGCTCCAAGTACGTGTTTCCTTGCAATTTCCTGCTCAGTATGCTTTGAATTGACAGTCTTTATAGTAATATGCAACCTAGGGAGGTAGTGTAGCACTATGGAGGATGTTGATGCATTTAAGAAATCTCATTTCTTCTTCATATTGTGTTGGTTGATTGAGTGAATTAGTGATCTTAGGACCCTTGAATTGTGTGATGTTGTGGATTTTCTACCTGTCATGGACTCTTGTGTCATGTTTTGAAAATAACAGGTGCTCGAAAATGTGCTTCCAAATAAACGTCTCCCGTGCGAATAGGGTGAAAGTGTGTAAGGGGAGGCGGGAATTCGTTCCCAATTTCCACCTACTACCTCCAGCCCCCTTACATGTCTTTCCCCCGCACGAGGCTCGAGACATCCGCTCCTGGCATGGCCGGTAAGAGCAGGTTGGGACCCTTGAAAAAGAAAAGAAAAGAAAAATATCAGAAAACAAGCAAAACAGGAAAAAAAGGGGGTTCCAACCATCTTTAACCAGAAAATAGAGCACCTTGAAAAATGTGAGTCCATGGTCTTTTGTTTTTGAGAATCTCTCCATCCACAATTCATTTGTCCTCTGTTCACTATTTGCCATGATGCCGATTCGATACTAGTGCTCTCGCCGAAGAAGCTATGAGATGACTTGTGCGTCGGTTGACCTCGTAAGTTGCTAAATGATCTAGGAAGTCCTCTACCTACGATCTGGGTTGTTTGTTGCTATAGAGGTCTGGAGAGTTGCATTGGTTTGAGTTTGGTTTGCTTGAGGACAAGCAAACTGTTAAGTGTGGGGGAATTTGATAACGATGTAATTGCACATGTTTGCGCCCCTAGTTCTTATCCGTTTGAGGGGTATAGTCGTGTGTTTTGGCCTATTTTACGCCGGGTTGTGCTATTTTGTCATATTTCAGGTCCCAGGCGTCAAAGGGAAGGCTAACCACGAGTTTCGGGGCATTCGGAGGTCATTTCGTCAAGCTGGGGCCAAAACACGGGCACACCTAAGGCATTACACGGCTGTGTTCCTGTGGCCGTGCTTTTTATGCCGAGAGCTGAGCTGATTACACGGGCAGGGCCGAGACAAAGCACGGCCGTGTTCAATCATTACACGGCCGTATCCAACGCGAAGCACGGCCGTGTTTCCTCCCAACTGCTGGCCGTGTAATTTACCTTGGCCGAGACACGGGCAGGCTCAGGCAAAGCACGGCCGTGCCCTCGACCGTGCTTTGGCCACTGATGCTTTTAAGCAGATTTTCAGCCACAAGTCAAGGGGATTCGAGTTTTAGAGAGAGAGATCAGTTCCTAGAGAGAGAAAGCGACGAACAAGAGTCTCCAAGTGCCCTAGATTGATCTTCAACACCATTGGAGGCCAGCTTGAGCTTGGAGAAGTGCCGATCAACATCCAGAAGCAGGAATCCATCCTTCACAGTATGAATTCCGCGTCTGATTCTGCTTTTGCTTTCTTCTCCATGGAGTAGTTCTCCCATTCATCTGGGTATGGAGAACCCTAGATTTGTATGTTAGGCTTTGCTTGTATGAACCCAAGTACTGATTCTATGATTGATTATATTCGATTGAGGTTTTAATGATTGAATGACTTGAATCCTGATCAAATTCCTGTTGTTTCTGCTTTAACCTAGAATGAGAATATCTGCCTAGGTTGATAGAGCATCTTTGATTGAAAATAGGGAGTTGGTGACTTTAGTCGAGGAGCCAACTCACTATTCTGTACCGGATTTACTCCGGTAGTGGAGGTTTTGTTCTTAGGGCCTCAATCTGTCTACTCCGGTGGAGGTTAGTCGCCCGCTAGAGATTCAGATTGAGAGGGTCTGAAGACCTTTAGTCGAGACTTCAGGCTGTTTAAGAACCTTCCGCAGTATAACTTTCATAGAAACTGAACTTGGTAATTACAATCCGGCTTAACTGCAGTCTAGGGGGAACCATATCCAGGTGACCTCTCTTAACCTGAATACAACCGTTTACTTGCTTTGTTAGTTTGTTAGTTTAGACTTGCATTCCAGTTTCATTGCTAGATAACAAGAATTCACTAAGTAGTCATCAGATCTAGGACCCGGGTTGACATTTAAACCCAAACCCGCTATACTACGTTTTAGGAAGTGGTTTCACTTGGCCAATTCCTAGGGTGACAGTAGAGTCGAGTCAGTGCTTAATGGACTTAATCATCGTTGAAGAAATGCCATACGAAAATAAATTCACCCAAATCGATACTTAATGGATTCAATCATCGGTGGATAATCGGATCAATAGACTTCATTATCGATAGAGAATAGCCTCCATAAGAATAGACCTAAATTTGTGATTGTACCATTTTGGAATATGCCAAAAATTAACTCGGAAGAAATTCACCCAAACCGGAGCTTAATGGAATTAATTATCGCCGAATTATAATCTCAGGACAAATCTGTTTGAGCCTAACTGGGTGTAGGAGTGAGACTCGGGAAAATAGGTCAAGGAGAGCAAACAATGGGAGAATAACTGTCGATGGAAGAACTGAAGAAATTATGATTAGTGTTGAGAGGGAAAATCTTTAGAGAGAGAAGTTGATAATTTTAGAGATAGAGCCAGAAAAATCCGATCCCCTCACCCACCGGAGTAAATGCTCTATTTATAGGCTACATGCTGGTAGGCCTGTCGGTTCGGGTCGGGTCGGGTAACCGAACCCGAAAACCGCAAAAAACCGAAACCCGAAACCGGCTCCCATAAACCCAAAACCGAAACTGAATTTGTGTTTTGCGGGTTGCGGGTTCAGAAACCCGAAAAAATCACTGGTGGTTTCTGGGTTTCTTTTCCTTTTCCTCTTCTCCTTTTCGGTTGGCTTTTCTTCGAGGTTTTCCTTTCTTCTTTGCCTTGTCCTTTTCGTCTCTCCCCCTTTTTCTTCCTTCCTTTCTCTTGTTCGTCAATAATCGAAGCCCTTCTTTCAATTTCGTCAATCGTTCTCCAGTTTTATCAAACGAACGCGGAGGCGAGCCGTCGGAGGTGAAGAATTTCAGCTGTTGGAATCGTCAACCTAAGGTACGGGAGGTTTCTTATCTTGTTTGGCGCATGCAGAGTCTGAGGTTGACGATTGAAGAACTTTCCCTTTGTTTTGCATTCTGATTCATCTTTGTTCTTCAACTTTAGATCACAACTTTCCCTTTGTTTTGCATTCTGATTTTGCTTTCTGTTGGCAGGTAAGGTACACACACATACTGGTGTAGAGGCAGACTGATTGAAGAACATGGCAACGATGCTTTAATCCCCGTGAACCCAGTGTGTTGTTGACATCAAAGAGTCCCAAGTAAACCGCCCCTTTTCCACGATACATCAGGAGATTGGAGGAGATAGATCAAACCCATCTCTGGAATAATATCATCCACCACCCACCACCACCACAAATTGATCAATCCCACCATCAAGCCAAGTCTGCGTTAGGATGCTTGCCGCGCCGATCAATCCTTCTGATATCAATCGAATTGAAGGTCTGGAGTTAACCTTTGAAGTCTATTTTGTCGCAATCCCCCTGTTTCTGAAATTGGTTTTCGTCTTTGGTTGGTCGTAGGAGTGTATGCTGTGCGGCCGCCGGTGCCTGCAGTTGGAGGAACAGAAGCTTCGAACCCAGAGGCGAAGAGCGAAGTTGATACTTGATGGTGGTGAACGATGATGGCGCCGCGGCGAGGACGATGATGGCGGCGACGGCACGAGGTGAAGGGCTGAAGTGATGGTGGCGGCGCGGCGAGGACGATGATGGCGGCGACGGCACGAGGTGAAGGGCTGAAGCGAGGGCCGAGGAGGCTCTGTCCTCTGTTTCATTTTCCAAAATCGAAGAGACGGCGACGGAATGGCTGAAGGCTAGGGTAGGGTTGAATGACGACAGCGTGCGATGCTATCGGGTTTTGCGGGTTTTCGGTTTTGCGGGTTTTGGTAAACCGAAACCGCTGCTGTGTGTATCGGGTTGAACCCAAAAAAACCGAAACCAACTCTGTTTATATTGGTTCGGGTTCGGGTTAAACCAAAAACCCGAAACCGAATAGACAGGCCTACATGGTGGTGGGTGAGGGACATGGTGACATGACCACTGACATGTCAGAAGACTAGGCCATGCTCCTACCTAGGACAAGTACATCTAGCCTTTTATTATACCTAGGACTAGGGCTAGGACTATGATGTGACTACTCGATAAACGAGACGCGGCATCGTTTTCCACACTTGCTGGCTTGGTCAGCGGTGCGCTTGGACGTCGTCGTTCGGTGCTGAGATGCGTGGCACTCTTGGTGAAATGCGCTTGCCGGTGTGTTTTCCTGGTCGCGCTCCTTGACTTGGGCGCTCTCAGTGTTTCTCTGGCGCAGCGGGATCCGAGTCACATACCCAACAGTAATCTTTAGCCTTTAAAATGGAAGGAAAATGACATTTCAGAAAAATCACCTCGAAATCTATGTGGTACCCCTTTGGAATCTACAAAAAATGGATCCAAAAGTATTCCGCCTAAATCGATGCTTAATGGACTTAATCATCGTTGAAGAATAACCTCAAGCCGAATCCTTGATTTGTATCCTTGATCTGTGGACTTAATCTATGTGGTTTTGACTATTGCGCGCGATTGCTTCGACTGAGCGCGATGCCTCCTACTTTAAGACTGAAAACATTCGTTTTTTCGCGCGATTGCTCTTGCGATTTTTGGGGTTGGTGGTTTTGACGATTGCGCGCGATTGCTTCGACTGCGCGCGACGCGCGCGATTGACTCGGGTTTACTTGATCTTCGCGATTTTCGGGGCTGGTGGTTTTGACGATTGCGCTCGATTGTTTTGACTGTGCGCGACGCCTTCTGCTTAGCTTGGGCTTTTAGAGCGTGTTTTTTCTCCCCGTGGGTGTGCCATGCCCCCAGGCGATGCGCGGAGCTTGTGACGTCATCGGCTAGTGCCTATGCCTATGCTAGATGTCCACGTGTCCTTGTATGGGTGGTCCGTTGTGGCGGTCGTTTTGAAATTCGAAAAATTTCTGACGGTTGCGTTTTTCGACGCAACTTCAACCGTTCGGTTTCCTTCTCTCAGATATAAATAGTTGGCCATCAGGGGGGGTTGGAACCCACTTTGTCTCGTTGAACTCCGTTTCTTATTCTCTCTATATTGGGTGTGTTCGAGATTCCTCTCCTTCTTCTACAACCTCTTTTCTCAACTTGTTGTTGTCAAACTCAAGGATCTGTTATGGCTAACCTCAATGTCGACGAGATCGAGGTCGTGCAAGGCGAAGAAGGTAATATCTCCTCTCCTTCCTGTGTTTCTACTGATCCTTCGTTGGATCTTGATGATTCTGGCCACGGGGGCGGCGGCGGTGCTGGCGGCGATGGGGTTCCAGCGACGCCGTCTTACGACGTCGATTCGGACTAGGATTACCGTAGTTCGTCCGATGCGGATGCGACGGTGTCTGAGAGTGGGCCGGCGAGCACCGGTGCTCCTGGTGTGTTGATAATTCGCCGCGACTGTGCGGGTGGGTCTAGGGATGCGGATCGTGAAGCGGGAGACGGGTCCGGTGGGCAATCAGAGCCGCGCTTCATCGCGCGCGTGTCCGAGGCGATTAGCCGCCTAGGGTTCCGCGGTGTGGGTGCGCAGTACAAAATAATTGATTGGGCGGAGATGTGGGGTGATCAGCCAGCGCCACAAGACAGTCTCCTAAGGGGTCTCGATCACGCTTCAATCTACGGGCGGATGGAAGTGACGGAGATCGTGCGCGGGTTGGGATTGCCCCCCAATTGGGAGTACGCGATTCCTTCTACGCGGAGTACAGTTGGTAATTGCCCCCCAGGATGGTTCGGGGTGTATACCGAGTACTGGGTGATGGGGTTCAAGTTCCCCATTGACCCGCTGTTATGCGCGCTCTACAGGCGGCTCAAATTCTCGGTTGGGCGCCTGTCTCCTTCAATCATTATGCACGTAAGCTGTCTCCGCCTTGCGTGTAAGAGGCTTAATATTCCGCCGTCTTACGGGTTACTCCGTAAGATGTACAAGATCAAGGAGCCCACGAGAAGGAGCGACTGTCTCTCCATCAGGCGGCGCGACAAGAGGCCTGACGGCTTCGTGTACGGGTCGCCCAAGTTAAAAAAGACTTGGTTCGAGCGCTTCTTCTACGTGAAGCCGACTCCGGGAGAGTGGGCGAGTGAGTATATGGAGGAGCCCACAGTTTGGAAGAAGGGCAGCAAGCATGGCTACGAGTGTGACCTGGGCAAATACGACAGGCTCGACGCTGAATATGAAGCGTGCCTGAATCAAAAGTTTAACCTATATGATGGCGGGGTCCGCGAAGCTTGTTTGGCGGAGCTCTTTGCTGATGGTTAGTTGCGTCTCTTTCCTTATGCATTCTATCATATTAACCGCTCTCTTACGATTTATTGGCGCAGGTGTTGACTTCTCCAGCCTAGTCAGCATGATGTCAGTGGACGACGTGGTCGTCAAAGCTCCGCGAGCTTCGCGTGGCGGGAAGAGGAAGTCGAAGGAGGTCGCGCCGACTGAGCGCGCGAAGAGGAAGGGGATTGAGCAGCCATCAGTGGCGGAGAAACCCCGAAAGGCGGCCCGCGTTGACCCTCAACCTGAACGGGTGGTTGAGCAGGCTCCTCAACCTGAGTGGGGCGCTGAGCAAGTTGTTGAGCGAGCGGCACAACAGTTGCCGCTCGTAATTGTGGATGGGGACGCGTCCGGAGCGCGCGTTGATGCGGCTCAACGTGAGGAGAAGTCGGCGGCGGGAAGTTCGTCTAGTGCGACGCCATAAGCTACTGCCATCAACTACTTCCGCGACGTGCGGATTCACTGTGGCGCTGCATGTAACAGCGTAGCGGCAAATACCGCGCTTCGCGCGTTGGGGCCCCTCCTGAGCACTCCTGCGCGGATGGAGAAGTCCGATCCGCTGCAAGACCTGGCTCAGATTCATTTTGCGGTGAGGTTATTTTTGTTTGCTTTGACATTATGTGATCCTCCTTGCTAATTTTTGTTAAGTCTGGGCGCTTGCGCGTGTAGGGTTTGTTGGCGGCCTTCCGGGCCCAGAAGGAGCGCGCGTCGCAGATCGCAAGGATGAAGGCTGACGAGGCGAAGATCGTCCAGTTGGAGGGGAATGTTGTCGGGGCGAACAATCGCGCTGACGTGGCAACGAATAAAGCCAACAAGGCGATGGAGGAACTCGGCGTCCTTCAGAGCAAGTTGGCCGCTGACGTGGAGGCGGCTAAGGAGCAGGTTCGGGTCGAGGAGCGCTCCGCCATCCGCGCCCAGCTGGAGGCTTCTTACGCTGAGAAGCTGAAGCAAGCTCGCGAAGAGCTTAAAAAGGAGAAGGACGACCTGGTCCGCCTTCACACCATCGCCAAAGCGGAAGCTGTTCGCGCGGCCGAGGTTGCGGCCGTCCGCCAGTTTAAGTCTTCTCCCTCTTTCGGGAAGATTTTGGCGGACGCCATGACCAAGGCTGTGATCGCGGTCGGGAAGAAGGTTCGGCCAGAGAACCCGGGGGTTCGCTTGGATACTCGCGAAATGGTTCAACATGTCAGGATGTGGATTGGCGAGAAGCGGCCCTTGGAGTCTGACTCCGAATCAGGAGAGGATGAGGAGGAGGATGGGGAAGAGGGGGAGCGCCCGGAAGAGGAAGAACGCCCGGACGGGGAGAAGGTTGAGGGTGCGAGTAGGGGTGGCGAGAAAGCTGACGATGACGAGGAAGAGGATGTTCAGCCCCTGCTGCGCCGCAAGCAGAATAGAGGGGATGCTCAGCCTGACACTGATGGTGCTTGAGTGTTATCGCGTCGACGTGTTTCCTTTTGGAGTTTGCTGCTTTGTTGTCTTTCTTATTTTCTTTTACCTCTTTTTTTTTATCAAGTGTAGTTGCGAACTATGTTGATGCTTCCGCTCAATCAAATCCAAAGAGTCCTTGCTTGTGGCGTTTGTTTGTTAATGTGCTCGTTTGTTCCTTCGAATCTAGTCGGTGCGAATAGCTCATGACTGTCGCTATTATTTGTTCCTTGGAATCGAGTGGGCGCAAATAGTGCATCACTATCGCTATTTTTGTTCTTGCGAACTTAGTGGGCGCGAATAGTGTGGGACAATTGCTAATTGTTTGTTCTTGCGAACTGAGTGGGCGCGAATAGTGCGGGACTATTGCTAATGTTTGTTCTTGCGAACTGAGTGGGCGCGAATAGTGCTGGACTATTGCAAATTTTTGTTCTCGCGATCTGAGTGCTTTTCATTCCTTTGCGGCAAAGCGCCATAGCGAGTAAAATACATATTAAGTTGCCTGGTGATATTTCCTGAGATTTTGCGCGTTCCACGTTCTTTGTATCTTGTTGCCCCCCAACTCGCTAAGTTTGAAGGTGCTGGCGCCGATCACTTCGTGGATTAGGTATGGACCCTCCCACACTGAGGCGAGCTTTCCGTGCTTGGGATCGGGACGGAAGTTCCGCCGTAGTACTTGGTCTCCGAGGATCAACTTGTGTGGAACCAGCTTCGCGTTGTGGTACTTGGCTACCTGCTCTTTCATTGCGGCCAGCTTGATTGCTGCCAACTCGCGCCTTTCCTGTGACAACTCCAGCTCCAGCAAACGCGCTTCATCGTTGGTTTCTTCGTTGTACCTCGTGATTCGATAGGTTGGGGCTGTTGTCTCTATGGGAATTACCGCGTCGGTGCTGTATGTAAGGGCGAAAGGGGTTTCGCCCGTTGCCACTTTGTATGGGGTGTGGTGCGCCCATAGCACTGTGTTGAGCTCGTCAGCCCAATTATCTTTGGCATCGTTCAAGCGGGTGTGCAAGCCGTGCATGATTACTTTGTTCGCGGATTCCGCTTGGCCGTTGGCTTGGGGATAAGCTACCGATGCGAACCTTGCAATGGTTCCCACTTGGTCGCAAAAATCTATCACTTCCGCGCAGTCAAACTGCTTCCCATGGTCAAAGATGAGCGCGTTCGGGACTCCAAAGCGCGACAAGATGTTGTTCTTCAGGAAGCGCGTCACCTGTTGCGCCGTTATCGAGGCTAGTGCTTCAGCTTCGATCCATTTGGTGAAGTAGTCTATTGCCACAATAATGTATTTGCGCTTCCCTTTTGCTGTTGGGAAGGGACCCAAGAGATCCACTCCCCATTGCGCGAAAGGCCATGGGCTCAGGTTGTCTTGGAGCTCGGTGGATGGGAGATGGTGCTGACGCGCGTTGACTTGGCACCTGTGGCACTGGTCCGCGTATTTATTCGTGTCCTTTTTTATTCGCGGCCAGTAGTATCCGTGCAACAAAATGGTGCGCTCCATACTGTGGGGGCCGGCGTGCATTGCGCACAACCCTTCATGTATGTCACGTACCATGTCGCGTGCCTCTTCTTGTCCGATGCACTTTAGGTAGACACCCGAGAACGACCTTCGGTACAGTTCTCCTTCAATGAGTGTGCATCGGGCCGCCTTTTGCCTCAAAGTCCATGCCTCCTTAGCGTCCTCCGGTATCGTACCGTCTTGTAAGTACCGCACAATTGGGGTTCTCCAGTCACCGTTCATGAGTTGGGTGGTATTGATCGCCACTTCTTGGCGATTTTCCTCTTCTTCCTTCTGTACCGACACGAGACGAGTTGTCTCAAAGTCGGTGGCGGTCGCTAGCTTGGATAGCGCGTCGGCGTGCACATTTTCCTCTCTCGGTGTTTGCACATAAGTTACCACCTCGAAGGTGGCTGCCCGCAGCTTGACACGCTCCATGTAATGCGCTAGGGTGTCTTCCTTTGCGTCAAAGGCTCCATTCAGTTGGTTGACTGCCAGAGAGGAGTCGAAGAGTACCCTTATTGTTCTTGCGCCCAATTCGTGGGCGGCGGTCATTCCCGCCAAGATGGCCTCGTACTCGGACGCGTTATTCGTCTTCAACGCTCTGAATCTGATTGCTATCTCGTGAACGGCGCCTGTGGGTGTGCGCACGACGACCCCCGCGCCAGCACCATGTTTACTTGCCGCTCCGTAGACATAAACCTCCCATACCCCCTCTGGTGTTGTTTCGAGGGTGACTCCTTCAGCGATGAAATCTGCTAGGATTTGGGCTTTTATTGCTGGTCTCGGCGCATATTGGATATCGTACTCTGATAGTTCGACCACCGATTTCACCATGCGCCCCGACACTTCCATCGAAGTTAGGATTTTCTTTAGAGGGAGGTTGGTCAGGACAGTGATCTGCTGCGCTTGGAAATAGGGACGCAACTTCTGCGACGCGCTTACCAATGCCAGGGCAGCTTTCTCTATTGGAGAGTATCTTGTTTCCGCGCTGACTAGCGTACGCGAAGTATAATACACAGGTTGTTCGGTGTTATCATTTCTTCTGGATATCAGGACTGCGCTCACGGCTCTCGTCGACACGGCCAGATAAAGGAATAACTTTTCATTAAGCTTGGGAGCTGTCAATACAGGAGGGGATACAAGATATGCTTTCAGCTCTTGGAATGCTGCTTCACATTCCTTGGTCCATGCAAACTTTGTGCCGCTCTTGAGTGTTTTGAAGAAGGGCGCGCACTTGTCGGCTGACCTTGGTATGAATCTCCCCAGCGGTGCTATTTTGCCATTCAGGGATTGGATTTCCAATGCGCTCCTCGGGGCCCGTAGTTGTTGGACCGCCGTGATTTGTTTTGGGTCGACTTCGATGCCACGCTTGGTTATCATGAACCCAAGAAACTTCCCTGCTTCTGCTCCAAAAACACACTTCAGTGGGTTCAAGCGGAGGCTGTGTTTGCGGAGCGCCTCGAATGTCTCTCGCAGGTCCTCCAGATGCGAGTTGACGGCCTTGGTTTTGACGATGAGGTCATCCACATAGGCCTCGATGTTCCGCCCTCTCTGTTGTGAGAACACTGAACAGATCATCCTTTGGTATGTCGCGCCCGCGTTCTTCAGTCTGAACGGCATTCCAACGAAACAAAAGTTTCTGAAGGGAGTCATGAACGCCGTTTTTTCCTCATCTTCGCGCGACATTGGGATTTGGTGATATCCTGAGAACATGTCCAAGAAAGACAGTGTCTCGTGGTCGGCAGTGGCGTCGATCAGTTGGTCAATGCGCGGCAAGGGGTAGGGGTCTCCCGGACATACTTTGTTGATTGTTGTGTAGTCGACGCACATCCGCCAAGCCCCTGAAGACTTTTTCACCAGGACCACGTTCGCCAACCACTTCGGGTGTTTGACCGGGAGGATCAACCCTGCCGCCAACAGTCGCGCCACCTCCTCTTCGATGGCCTTCAGTTTGTCGCCAGTGAAGCCCCGTCGCGCTTGTTGCCTCGGAGGCACGCTAGGCGGGACTGCGAGGCAATGTTGGGCTACATGCCTTGGTACCCCTGGCATGTCTTCTGTGCACCAGGCAAATAGCTCCTTGTATTCCTTCAGTAGCGCTATCAGCGGCTCAATCGCGTCGTCTCGGACGTGAGTCGAGATGCATATTTTTCTAGTCGGCTCGGTTGGGTCGAGCGCGACCTCGAAATCGGAATCCATCGATTCCGGGTAGGGTTCCTCTGGCCTTATGTCGACAATGTTGGTTTGCCGGGCCTCTCCTTCTAGCTTTGGGGCTCCCCATGGTGTCCCGAGCGCCTCTCCGGTTCCCATCTTAGTGGGGAACTTAAGCTTCTGGTGGCATGTGGATGGAAGGACCATGAATTTTGCTAGGAAGGGTCGGCACAAGATGCCGTTGTGGGACGATTTGCAGTAGACTATTGTGAACTCGACTTGCTTTGAGACGCGCGGTTCTTGGTCTCCGATAACAACAGGAAGAGTTACCACACCAATTACTGGAACCCTCGTTCCAGAGAAGCCGACCAAGTTCCCTTGGGCGCGCTTGATTAAGGGCGGGTCGATGTCCATTTTGTTGATAGTGCTTTGAAAGAGGATGTCTGCCGCGGCACCCCCATCTATCAGTAGGCGGTGTATTTTGCAGGCGACCACTAGAGCGGTGATGATGAGCGGGTCTTCTGACGGAATTCCTTGCGGTAATTCGGTGTCGTCGAAGCTTAGTTGGCCCCCTGTTTGTACATCCGCCGCTGCGAATTCGATCGCTCGCGCTTGGTTTTCTTTTTCGGACGATCTCCTTCCACTATCACCACCCCTATTTCTTTTCGCACTACATACGCTCCAGCGGTTTCGTTGTAGTCGGCTTGTGGGGGTGGTGGCGGGTTTTGGGGCCCCCCTACTTGCTCCTCTTTCTCGTGTGTGAACTTGGTCAACAATCCACGTCGTATGAGGCCTTCTATTTCTTAACGTAGTTCTCGGCAATCTTCTGTCCAGTGCCCCGTTGCTCTGTGGAAGTCGCAATGCTTTTTTGGGTCACGCATGTGGGGTAAGGACTTCAAAGGCGCGGGCCAATTGAGCTTGTAGCCCTTCTCGCGGAGAACGTGGAATACGTTCTTCACGGAGTCGTTGAGCGGTGTGAAGGCGTGGGGTGCGCGCCTATCTGGTGATCTTCCCCGCTGAGCTTGTTCTTGTGGAGGAGGGGGATGGCGCTTTTGCCCGCTGTGTAGTTGCACCAATTGGTCTCGCGGCAGCGTGAGCTGCCGACGTCCCTGTTCCTCTCGCGGCAATTTGGCTGGCTCGAAGCGCCTAACAGATCCCGCTCCGAGGGTTTCTTCCAGCGTAATTGCCTTCTCAATCTTCATCTCCAACTCTGTCGATAGTGTTACGGGCCTTTTTGCTAGCGCCCGCTTTAGTTCCATGTTGGTGATGGCTTCCATAAGGTGATGAGCGGCGGTTTCGGGGGTAAGGTCGCTCACTGCCATCGCCACCCTGGACCATCTGGCGTAAAATGATCGCAGGCTTTCCCCATCCTTTTGCTTGATGTCTATCAGCGACTTGAGGTGGAGAGGCCTTCTCTTTTGGGATGCGAACTTTGTCGTGAATAGGAGTATGAACTCCTCAAATGAGCGGATGATCCCATTTGGGAGCCTGTTATACCAATCGAGGCATATTCCGGAGAATGTTGATGGGAAGGTTCGGCATAGTGCCGCGTTGGAGTTGGTTTGGAGTTGCATCCGCAGGCAGAAGGTGCTCACATGGTCTTCGGGATCAGTCATCCCGTTATATGTTCGGAGGGCGGGTGGCATTTCGCTCAGGTGTTCCGCCATGATTTCCGCGCTTAGCGGCTGGTGGAGCGCCCTCTTGGGTGGGTTGGGTTGGTATTGCGGAGACAAGTGTTGCTCCAGAAAACTGAGGTCTGCCCTACCCGGCGGCTCAGCTTGTTGCGCTTCGCACGTGGGGAATTCGTTCTGCGCGAGTTATGGCGCGCTTGTTGTGGCCTCAACTGGCGGCAGTGCGGGTGGTGGCGCGCTTGTTGCCGCCTCCACCGTCGTTGCGGCTTCTTTGCTCATCATGAGCGCTATGACTTGGCTCATTTGCTTTTGCATATCGGCTATGACGTTATTCTGCTTCGCCATTAGCTGCCTCATTTCTTTAGCGGTCATCTCGGGCTCTTCTTCTTCGATAAGCACCGCGTTGAGGTTGCTAGTTTCTGCGAACGTCCTTGGGTCGGTCATTGCTTTGATGGGTGTCGCTTCATCTGGTAAGTTGGGATTGTGTTCAGCCATTGGTTGTTTTTCTTTTGCTTCTCTACTTGGCCCCACGGTGGGCGCCAATTGTTTGAGCCTAACTGGGTGTAGGAGTGAGACTCGGGAAAATGGGTCAAGGAGAGCAAACAATGGGAGAATAACTGTCGATGGAAGAACTGAAGAAATTATGATTAGTGTTGAGAGGGAAAATCTTTAGAGAGAGAAGTTGATAATTTTAGAGATAGAGCCAGAAAAATCCGATCCCCTCACCCACCGGAGTAAATGCTCTATTTATAGGCTACATGGTGATGGGTGAGGGACATGGTGACATGACCACTGACATGTCAGAAGACTAGGCCATGCTCCTACCTAGGACAAGTACATCTAGCCTTTTATTATACCTAGGACTAGGGCTAGGACTATGATGTGACTACTCGATAAACGAGACGCGGCATCGTTTTCCACACTTGCTGGCTTGGTCAGCGGTGCGCTTGGACGTCGTCGTTCGGTGCTGAGATGCGTGGCACTCTTGGTGAAATGCGCTTGCCGGTGTGTTTTCCTGGTCGCGCTCCTTGACTTGGGCGCTCTCAGTGTTTCTCTGGCGCAGCGGGATCCGAGTCACATACCCAACAGTAATCTTTAGCCTTTAAAATGGAAGGAAAATGACATTTCAGAAAAATCACCTCGAAATCTATGTGGTACCCCTTTGGAATCTACAAAAAATGGATCCAAAAGTATTCCGCCTAAATCGATGCTTAATGGACTTAATCATCGTTGAAGAATAACCTCAAGCCGAATCCTTGATCTGTGGCCTTCAAAATAAAATAAAAATGACCTTACGAAAAAAACAACCAAAAAATTACGAAAATGTCATTCGAAAATATATTCGCCAAATTTGTGCTTAATGGACTTAATCATCGATGAATAATAGGATCAATAGACTTCATTATCAGTGGAGAATAGCCTTGTGTGGATTTCGTGATCTATAACCTCCAAAATTGAAAGAAAATGACATTTAGGAAAAATCGCCTGAAATCAGTGATGGTACCCATTTGAAATCTGCCAAAAATGGACTCGGAAGATATTCGCCCAAATCGGTGCTTAATGGACTTAATCATCGTTGAAGAATAGACTCACACCAAATTCCTTATCTGTAGCCTTCAAAATCCAAAGAAAATGGTCTTTCGAAAAAAATCGGCCAAAATTTACGAAAATGTTATCTGGAAATATATTCGCCCAAATCAGTACTTAATTATCGGTGGAAAATCGGATCAATAGACTTCATTATCGATAGAGAATAGCCTCGGACTGAATTCGCGATCTGTAGCATCCAAAATCGAAAGAAAATTGCATTTTTGAAAACTCGCCCGAAATCTGTGATGGTACCCCTTTGAAATCTACCAAAAACGGACCCGGAAGAAATTCTTCCAAATAGGTGTTTAATGAACTTAATCATGGTTAAATAATAGTCTCAGGCTGAATTCGTGATTTATAGCCTTCAAAATCTAAGAAAATTTGTCTTCAAAAAAATCGACCAAAAATTTATGAAAATATCATTAGAAAATTAATCCGCCCAAATCGATGCATAATGGACTTAATCATCGGTAAAGATTAGGATAAATACTTAAATAGACTTCATCATCGATGGAGTCTGGCTAGATTCGTGGTCCTTAGCTTTAAAAATATAATGAAAATTGTCATTTCGGGAAAAATCGCCTGCAATTTGTGATGATATCCCTTTGAAATCTGTCAAAAATGTATCCGGACAAATCGTGGTTTAATAGACTTAATCATCGGTAAAGAATATGCTCAAGTCTAATCCGTGATTTGTAGTATTCAAAATCTAAAGAAATGGCCTTTCGAAAAAAAATCGACAAAAAACTACAAAAATTCCATTTTTGGCAGATTCCGAATTGGTACTATCACAGATTTTGGGAGATTATTTTATAGGCTATTTTCTTTGATTTTCACGGTTACAGATCATGGTTTCGGCCAGAGATCATTATGCACCAATGATAAAGTCTATTAATTGCCAACTTGGGTGAATTTTTTTCGTTGGGCATTTTCGTTACCTTTTGGGTGATTTTTCAATTTCCATTTTCTTTAGATTTTGAAGGCTACATATCACATATATGACTTGAGGTTATTCTTCACCGATGATTAAGTGTATTAAACACCGACTTAGCCGGATTTTTTTTTTTTGTAGGAATATCATCACAGATTTCGGGAGATTTTTCCGATAGTCCATTTCCTTGGATTGTGAAAGCTACAGATCATAGATTCAGCCCGAGGCTATTATCCACCAATGATAAGTCTATTAATATCAGATATGGCAGATTTTTCTTGTAGGGCATTTTCGTAATTTCTTGTGTGATTTTTTGAAAGACCATTTTTCTTGAATTTTACAGGTTATAGATAAAAAATTCGGTCAGTGGCTATTTTCCACCAATGATTATGTCTATTTATTGTCAGACGAATTTTTTTCGCAGGGCTTTTCGTAAATTTTTGGGCCATTATTTGAAAGACCTTTTCATTGAATTTTGAAAGCTACAGATCATGGATTTTGCCTGAGGCTATTTTTCATCAATTATTAAGTCTTTGAATCGCAGATTTGGGCGAAATTATTTCTAGGTGATTTTTTCGAAATATAAATTTTAAAAACAACAGGAGGAGGGTGAATAAAGATACACGTGGGACACTAACAAACTCGATTCTAAGATGTGAAAATTATTGGGTCGTTTGGAGAATATGAGTTTAAATCTACAGATTATTAACAATCTAAAGATTCTAACTCTTCAGATTGTTGAAAACATATTTTAAAATGTTTATTGTTTGGTAACTATGATTGTTAACAATCAAGTAAAATAAAAAATTTCATTTTATATTAAATAACAGGTTTATCCTTAATAAAAAAAATTATAGTGGTTCGAAAAATATTTAAAAAACTTTGTTGATAAATATATTTCATGTGATAAATAAATAAAAGGAAGAGAAAAATTAGGAGAGAAAAAATCTCACGAATCAAGATATAGAATCTCTTTGATTATGAGAGATTTGATATCCGCATATTTTAGAGATTTGAAATCTCTAAAGCTAGAATCCACAATACAAAAAGTAACAAAAAAACATAACTTTCTACAAAATCTACGGATTCAATGAATCCATGTCCTGAATCCTGTTCTCCAAACGACCCCTATATTGAAATCTCATGTACAACAATTTTGTATCATAGTATTTCAATATCTCAATTAGGATGGTAGAACTAGAATAAGTACATATTTGGTATTTAGAATTATTTAAATAACTATATTTAATCAAGCATTCATAGATTTTTTTGTTTAAATGTACGAATTTCAAAAAATACATTGTTTGGAAGTCGAATGATTTTGATGTTCCCTCAATAAATTAGGAAGAAAAAATA